AAAGAGTGTGAGAATGGCGGCTTCAGGCGGCGAGAGTCAGTGCATTGGGAGGTTCGTGGACGAAAGTGACGTGGACACCAAGCGGGTTTACTTGGCTCGCAAGACAGTTCTCGAGATGCTTCACGACAGGGGCTACGAGGTTGTCGACTCGGAACTGAGTTGCTCACTCGACGAGTTCCGTTCCAGTTTCGGAGACAAGCCGAATCTCGAACGAGTCCGTATTTGCGTCCCTCTTCGTGATGATCCTGGTAGAAAGGTGTGAGCTTTTTGGCCTCTTTTTCAAGGACCGCGTATTTTTTTCAATGAGGTTCTAGTTTTTGGGCTGGATTCGTCCGAAAACAGAGGAAAGTTCGAGAAAGGCGTGAACTTTTCATCTGGGCTATTCTAAATTTGGGTTGTAATGAGATGAGGCGTCTGCACGAAAGAGTTTTTTTACTGTTATTTGTGCACATTCTTTTTCTTCTCCTGGTTTTCGTTTCATCTCTTGCTTCTCAAATTTGGGGTTTTGTTATGGGTCTGTTGTTGAGAAGTAAAAGATCACTGCCCTAACCCGGATAATCTGTTCCTTGGATGTCAAGAAATATAGTTCTAGTGACCCCGATAGTGAATGTCTACGGGATTCACGACCTTTCGCTTGGTGCTTATCTGTTTATATCATGTGTACTAAACATCCAGGGGTGAGATTTGGGCTTTGCTCTGACTTTTACGTCGAGAAAGTAATGGAACAGTGATGATGTTTCCAGTTCCAGTCCCCTGATTGATTTTGTTGTGTCCCACTCTTTTCTGTTTGGATGCCTGAACCTTTGATACTTAAACATGGCCCTTGGCTTACTGGATGAGTTGTGACTTCTGTCAAGCAGCTTATTTGCTGATAATAAGCTTTGGGAATTGAGTATTTTGAGTATGCCAAATCTCATCCTCTTTTTATTTACGTTATGTTATGTCATGTTAGTTCTAAACTGCAATGGTTTTTCCAGATGCTTGTTATATTCATGGGGACTGAACCGATAACCGTGAAATCAATTCGTGCTGTCCGTGGTCAGATTGCTGGCAGTGAAGGCTTACATGGCCTGATCTTGGTCTTACAGAGTAAAATGAACCGCTTTGCTCAAAATGAATTGCCAACATTTCCTTACAAGGTTGAAACTTTTATGGTAAGCTCAGCTATTAATTAGTCACTCTGGTTCATGTCTTTGCTATATTTTATGCAGTTTTAGATATATCGTTGTCTCTCTAGAGTTTATACAGGAATTTGAAACATGATACTTGGCTTCACAAGTAGGACTTCGTGTTAAATATGATAGTCGGCGATATTGTTGTGATTGAGTTTATAGATACTAGCTCTTGCTAAGAAACCATTTGCAGGCCTGGGGAAAATCATTCTAAATATACAGTGTTAATGTCATCATTTACACCGTGCCAGAGATGGGAAATTTTGTCGAAACCTGAAGGATTTTTACTTAGCCTTGGGCAGGGTCCTGCTTTGTCAAAATCTCTTGCACTTGACTGGACTCTCCTGTATAAGCTTTCTTGAAGATGATTATTTTTGTTTTGCAAACAGATAACAGACTTGTTGGTGAACATCTCAAAGCACGTTATGCAGCCAAAACACGAGGTTTTAAGCGAAGAAGAGAAGGCAAGGTTGTTGAAGAAGTATGGCCTAGAGGACAAGATGGTCTGCCTAAACTTTTCCTTGCGTTCTTGCTTTACATATAATTCTCTATGTTCCGCTGTAACACATTTTCCCAAAGAAATATGGATTCTTGAATGTGATTCAAAATCGCCTTCTTACTGTTTTCCTTTTCCAGCTTCCACGTATGCTGGAGAGTGACAGCTTTGTCAAATACTATGGATTGGAGAAGGGTCAGGTGGTCAAGTTTATGTACAAGGCAGAGCCTGTTGGATCATTTGTCACATACCGTTGCATCGTTTGATTCTTTTTTTACGCCTCAATTCCTCATTTAAGTTTATTGAGAATTTTTTAGTGTTTGGCTTTTTTTGCCAAGAACAGTTTTAAAACCTTAAAGCTTTAGGACTTCGAAGCTGAGACAATCTGTGTTTCTTTTCGTTTTCCAGCTTTCTGAATGCAGAATTGTTCTCATTTGTGCAGTAGTTTGTTTCTTTTATGTTCTTACGGGTTACAAGAACGAAAAGATGGATATGGTTTAGAAAGGAATCGAGCAAACAATTCATTGAAAAGTTTTCGAGATTTTGCAGATAACCCAAGACTTATTGATAACTACCTACATAAGCCTCTTGGTTTCAGTAACACAACCGAGAATCTAAAAAGCAAACATGAAACAGAAGTATAGGTATAAGTAAGATTTGTATCTAGACACAAGCTTCAATCGAAATGAGTTAAAAGGAGTTGTGTTTCATGGAAGACAGGGGAGGGAAGTTGCTTGAGCCCATTGTACCGGCGTTTACTGTTCAAAAACCTGAATCCTCCACAAGCCATTCTCTGACAACCTCCTAATCGGCTGACAACAAAATAAGAAGATCTTGGCATTACCAGTAAATCCATATATAAGTCCAAGGAGAGCATTAGAGTATAGAATGGAAGTTGATATAGTAAGGAATTACCCTTCCGAGTTTCACAATTTTTTTTCATTTTCATTTGGAAGAGCTTCAAGCTCAGCACCACCAACAGAACTGGATCTGCAGTTGAGTGTATTCGCAGAAGTGTCAACGGAAGGACTTGTTTCGAACTGATTCGTCTGCTGCGTTGAAGCCAATGTACCTGCAGCAGGTCCTTCCTCTGAAACTTTCTGCTTAGTTATGTAACTCTCTGGAGTGCTGCATTTTGGAAAGCTCACTTTTCTTTCGGTACCCATCTTTGAGGAAACAGGTGATTCTGGCCCCTCAAGATTCTTCATTGGCACTTCAAAATGTCTGTGAAAGAGCAGATGGGCCACAGTTCGGTCTATGGGATTGGTCACTGTTTCCGTGTCTGGCATCCCAGCATAGCTGTGACAAGAAAACCAAGAAAGGGTTCATGGCATAAGCTCCAGCTACACCGTGGATGTATCATTGATATGATTTAAATAGAGCACAGCTTCATTTACAGATGCAGATGAGGTATATCCAAATCAACAATTCATAAGCCGGATCTTTATTTAACATGGTCAACAATGAAACATGGAGTTTAAACTTTAAAGCAAAGGAGTATGCAATTTCACACATTTCGTCCAATTTTCGTTCAGATGCACGAACAACCTTATCTCGTAGACTCATGGTGAATCAATTTTAGTTCTCATAAACAAAAAGAGCTAGGAGTCCAGCAGAGAAGGTGCCTATTCACCATGCAATTAAAAAACCAGTATCATGTGCAATCTTCTCTAAACATGAACAAAGGTGAATAGATTTCCTTACCTACTGCCTTTTCTAGCATCTTCTACGGAAATAGATTCTTGTTCATTGCAGCTAGTTTTGTTAGTACAGGTTGTATCACCAGCATGATGCCTCTTAACTGCACTCCCAGCCAACCGGAATAGGCTATCCCGCATGCAAAGTCTTATTCCCGTGTCCAACTGCAGGTAAAATTAGAGTATCAGTCTTTTCTCCAAATTCCAATATCCAACAGAATAAGAATCCACCAAACATTTCTGTCAAACCTTGGCAACAACATCCTGAAGCCGATAAAGAACTGAGAATTCTGCAGAACTATTGTCGGCAGCAACAGCACAGTTACTGGAATCATCCTGTTCCAAAGGTGAGTTAGGATCAAAAGAAGGCTGAGCAGCTATCTCGTCAAGATAAGTTTTGTCGACAAGATGGAGCGGATTATCTTGAGTGCCGACGGGTTGATCAGCTCCAGGAACCTGATGACGAAACTGTTGCTGTTGTCTCTGAATGGCAAGCATTGCCTGCATTTGCTGTCTACGTCTCAACTTTTCAAGTTTTTCCTGAGGCGTCATGGTCAAAGGTCTTGCAGACGCATCTCCTGCTTTGTTTGCTGAGATAGCATTCACAGGGGAAATGTTGTAGGAAGGATGCAGCAACTGAGTCGTAGGATCTGGAGACTGGATGGTGGAGACTAGAGGAATAGCAGAATATGGATTTGAAAGATTCCCAAAACCAGAAGCAGACGTGTATGGGTTTGGCATGTGCATGTACTGAGAAGTCTCAGAGCCTTGAAGCTTTCTCTGTGGATTCATAGCCACAGAAGAAGAACGTAGTGAAGAGGGTGTCAGCTGATTTTCAAACTGTCCTGGTGAATTTCTGGATGGAGACCAAGTACCATACACATCTTGAAATGTTCTTGTCTCAGAACCCTCTGGCATGGCTGAAAACTTCAACAGCTTCTTTTGCTGATATGCCTGGACAAAAATAAGATTGCAAGATCCAACAGTAATTGCAGGGATCAACAAAGAACAATATTCATGTTTTATTTGAAGGCTCTATAACTGCTCAACTAAGGTTGACTAATGCTATCCATAAGACCAAAGCATTGAAAATAATGTTATTCCTAGATCATAATGCTACTATAAGCGAAGATCAAGTTACATAATGTCATATCCCTGCAATCCCTACCTAAAGCATCACTCACTACATTGCAAGAAATCAAACCCGCATCAGTCTAACCTCTCTGCAAATTCATCGGAAGGCAAACAATGATGAAGGAAATATAAAGAACGAACAGGCAGAGACCCCAAATGAGAGTGAATAGAAGACTGATGGCAACAATAGGCTGGACTATTTCTGATAAGTGCATGTCTATGACTTTAACAGCAATTTCAATGGTGATAAAAGCCAACATAATTTGGAGGCATCATAATGTTTTCAGTCACACATCCCACACAGCATTTATGTTGACCCAATCCCTAACTCTACCTCATAAAAGACTATAACCCAAACTTACAGTAACAAAAGCCATAAAAGAACAAATGAAAAAAGAAACAGTAGTAGCCATGTCCAATACATCTCATTATTAGAAAAGTTGTCAACAGTGAAGCTAGATTTTGGTTCTGAGGTTTTCCCATATAAGTCCAAATTCAGATGATGCTTAAGAATCACTGGCATTTCAGCAGGCAACCATTTTCCAAAGTAAGAAGACACACAAGCAACCTACTTCTATTCACTTAAATTAAAGGTGTGAGAGCATGAAGCAGTCTTCTATGCTTAGTACCTGCTCCTCATCTGTGGATTGACCCTTATACCCAGGGTACTGTTCAATCTTTGATGTTGGACATGCATTTTGCACATTTTGATATGAAGGATCAACGGTTTTTCCACTCAATGACAACGGTTGGTCACCTTGCTGCTCAAAGTCAGTTTTAGTATCCAATCCTATATTTTGGAAGTCCAGAATTGACGGGAACGATTTTGGTGGACTATTAGATACATCTTTGGAAGAAGGCCATAACTCATCAGCGCTGCTGAGACTACCATCTCCAAATATAGGGACATCATTGCTGCACAATCATCACTTGTGAGGATATTGTGTCAGATATAGACCGATATGCATGAAAACAACAAGTACTGTTAATTCTGAAGTTAGTAATTTACTTTGATGTCAAGAATATGTATCTTACCACAGGACAGATAAAAATTGGAACAAATGTGTTACGTCTAAGTGTCTACACATTACAGCGAATTTCACGATTTTAAGGAATTCTGCCACGAAATCCAAGCATGTTCCACATTTTACACTTCAATGTTCATGTATGCTAGCAAAAAAATGTTTGGGGAGAAGTTTTTCAAGCCACAATCAGAAGGTGATTAGCAGAGATTCATGAGAAAAAATGGAGACGACCTTAAGTGGGGGATGGATGCCCTCATTCATGGTCATGAGTAAAGCAACAGTAAGATGGACAAGGAACACATTAATGCTCGATTACCACGGTTTCCTATCCGGATACCTAGTAGGACCTTTCAGTGCTGCACTAGAAGATACTGAAAATTATCTTTACCTGAACATTCGATCAAGATCATCGAAGCTACCAATGTTAGCCCAGCTGTAGTCGACAAAATCACTTTGCCCTTTACTCTCATCAGAGTTATGAAAAATATTAGGACCCTTTCCAAGGTCAGATGTCTTCTCTGAGAAAATGAAGAACAGAAAACCGTTAGATGATAAGATCGCAAAGCACATTACTGAACAAAACTTCCATCGTTTCACACAACTCACCACCACTTGTTGAACTAAATTTGGCAGGCTCAGCTAAGCTATTGGAAACTTCAGTCCCGCTGGAATCTTGATTAACTCTTGTGTCTAAAGATACTGATGTCTCAGGCCATGAGTCCAAACCGAAGTCTGAGCTAGAAATCTCCTCACTATCATTATAGCTACTGGCCACCTTTTTCCCATGGAGGTCAATCTTAGCTGCAAGAGTCTTCTGCTCAGCAGGTTTATGTGACTTGGACTTTTCACTCCATTCCTTCCTGTTAAGTTGTAGTCCACTTCTTTCCTTGAAAGGCACAATATGGTCGTCTGTCTCACCGTCATCACCCCATATTATATTATTAAGCTGAAATATTGCAAACCATGAACAATAAACATCAGACGCAAGCAGGTTTCAACATCTATGCAACACCAAAAGGATGACAAAAATTAAAAACTAAACGTAAAATGACTGTCTGGACATGCTGCCAGATCTGCAACATATGCTTTTAGAACTAGATACATACACAGTAGCTCCTAAAATTAGTCCTATAAATGTGAGACTTGACTTTCTGGCATCTTCTGATGAAGTGTTATTCCTCAATCCATACCCACCTTATCCATTGCAAGAGCACCTAGAAATTGAGTTTCTGGCATCTTCTGATGAAGTATTATTCCTCAATCCACCTCAAGTGTAACTTGCAAAGACAATTTTCATCGATACAAACGAACATTTAGAAACAAATTACGACTAGTTGTCATGTTAAATTACCATCTAAATTATCCCACATATATGTGCAGATAACACTCCAATAGGGTTCTCTTTGGAGAAGAAGGAAAAAATATAAACTATATCAGAATGCATGAAATGCCATTCTTAGAGACTACGAACCCTCCAAACAAATAATTTTCATTCATCCCCTGGCGAATGTAAATTCATAACTCACTGTTCTATAATAATCCTAAAGCAAGTAGACAGCGAGAAGAAAAATAAAGAAACCCAGGTTTCTCGACATAGGCAGAAGATGGGAAATGCTGCTTCTCCAACAATTTCTTGCATGTTAATTGCTTCGCCTCGTCAACTCAATCTTGTATGCTCCAAGATATGAGTCTGGAAATAGACCTCTAGTTATATGCTGTCAAATTCTAATATCTATCAAGTTCCTTATTGTGAATCGCAGTTAATGACACACAAACCTGAAAGTAGCAGTTTCATCGCTGAACGCATTGAACCATAGAGGTTGACAAAAAACCTCAGGAAGAAAGAGTTTCAGTAGGGCATCGAAAACCACTACCACTCTGAATGACCTTCAGAAGCTAATCAATGGACATAAAAAGTTATGGATGGAAGGCATCCTAAACAACCATTATCAATGGAGATGACAGTATTTTAAACCACTATCACTCTGAAAGATGTTTCTGCCATATAATCTGTCTACCATATATTTCTCTTGGCTGCATTGTCTTAACTCAGAAAAACCCCTAAAGGATAACAGAATTTTATTAAACCCAAAGAGGTCATCCAAAACCAAAAAAAAAAACTTTATAAACTCACAAGCGTTAGTCCAGAGAGGGAACGTTTCCACTTCCATGATCATGAATCATAGAAGCATCTTACAGTTCCACTTCTACCTATCTACGTCTGGAACCAGTTGATCATTCACCTTCCACATCTGTCTACTACTCCCCTTTGGTTTCCAGAGAACATGTTAAAGAACTGACAAATCCCAGACTTTGGGTACAAAGACGACCCTTTTTCTTGTTTTCATCAATCAGTCGAATATATATATATATATAAACGTGTAGTCGTGTACGCATACACAAAAAGGAGACTTTCAGAGAGGTAGTGGTCAAGAAGCAAAGGGCGAAAGCCCCGAGAAAAACATCGCCGCATGAAAACTACCCTAAAACTCATGATTCAGCGCGTCCGAGATTCTTGGGCGAGAAATCAAGACGCCATATTCATACAGACACAGAATCGTACTGATTTCTCAAGAGCTGGATTGCAGAACCACAGGAAAAAAAAGGCCAAAAGGGGAAAAAGAATAAAAAGCATATGAAGATTTTACCTCTTCGTCGTTCCAATCAAACATGACTAGTAGCGAAGCAGATACCCAAGGCAAAATCCAAAATCACGCTCCCAGATTACTCCACACATCGCCGACCCTCCTCCACCAGGAAACAAAATCAACCAAAAAAGCCAAAAAAAAAAAAAAAAAAAAACTCGAAACAATAAGATCAACACCACAAAAAACAAGCGAAAAAAATCCAACAAAATGGGGAAAAAACAGAGACCCAAATCCCGAAAGGTAGGCTGAAGGAAGAAAAATAAAACCTTTGATTAAGAATCCTTGCGTTATCAAGGGAAGGGGAAAAAGGAGTTACAGTGATGGGAGAGAGGAGAGTTGTCTCGAGAGAGAAGGTTGGGGTTGAGGATGCAAGTGGAGTGGGTCCCGCTTTAACGAAGAGTCACGTGCCGTCTGATAAGAGGAGGAATAGTAGCCGTTTGGGGTGCCACGTCAGACGAACATCGTATCTAAATATGTGGCTAAGAGAGGAGCATCTTTTGCTGCGTCTCTATTGGACATTATTGTTTTTTTTTTGGGTTTTATTTCAATTAGGATTTTTTATATATAATAAATGGGCTTTTGCCTTCTGTGAACAAGGCCCAGTCTATACATTATTTGGGTTCCTTTTTTTGTTCTTTTATTTTTATAAAAATAATATGTTTGAGTATAGTTTCCGTTACATTTTGTAAAACCGTTTTTTCAAACATATATTTATGTTATATTTTAATATTTTTTTTATATTTCCAATTCATACTCGAACCCGTAATTCGGATTTTGACCGATGAAGGACCCATCTTAGCTCCGCAACGGTTTAAGTTCTCGATTTCCAAGTACAAAAAACCATAAATGACAGGTGTTGGGATACCACGCCAAGCCGTACGACACGGTACGACCGGAGTTTCATTTCAATTGGCATTTTGTTATGTAATAAATGGGCTTCGCCATCTGTTACCACTACATAAATACTCGGTTTTTGTTAGGTTTTAGTTCTTCTTAATTGTTTCGTTTTTATTATAAAAAAATATATCTATTTAAATTTTACATCGATTTTCGATTTCCATCTTCGTTTACTTTTCCCGTTCGGTTTTCGTAAAAGTCAAACGGTTATTACTTCTTTATATCTAGAAAAACATTAAAATTCAAACTGAACTGAATCGAAAAATCAAAAAAATATTTAAACAAATTATTTTTATCAATAAAAAATTGAATTCATACTGAATCGAATTGAACCAAAACAAATTAAAACTGAAAGATTATAGTTTTTTATAACCGAAATAACTAAACCTGGACATAATCTTAATAGAAAAAAAACCGAAATGGTCACCCATTAATATTCTTCACTGTCTATATTTCTTGCTAGGAACAAAAGCGAAAAACAATCCTTTATTACCAAAAACCAGTCCAGGAACCAAACCACGAACAAAACAAAGCGCAGAACCAGAACTTCAAACTAGGAAAGAGGACTTGTCTCGTTCGACGAATTGAAATCCGATCTGGCCAACAACGTGAGCAGGAAATCTTTGTAGTTCCCTTTGGTCCTCGTTTCGATTTTCTCGGCCAGAGACTGTCCGAAGAGCCGATGATATTCTTCGATGGTTTCTCTCATGTCGGCATGATCTGCTCTCGTCACTATCACTCTTGTCAGCCATTTTTTTGCTTTCTTGTCCGCTTCCTCGCTCAACGATTCATCCAATAGCTAAACATAGAGAGAATAAGTTCACAAGATTCGACTAATGAAATTTTCGAATCGCTTTTTTCTCGGTAGCTAGCATACCTTGCTGAAATACGCTGAAGGTCTGGACAGACAAAGAAATGTGTCACTCAAAACCGAAGACCCGGTCGCATCCTGAAAATCGAACCATCAAACCCACAAAACCGTACCGAAATGAATCAAACTCCATATGTTTTTTTTATCAAAAACGCAACAGAGACAATGATGTAATCGAATGCACAAGCGATCAAATCAACAACGTACATATAAGAGTGTAAAGGGTATATATTCTTGCGTTATGTAAATAATTTAACTATTGTATCTTCTTCATATAATACGTACCTCGGCTATCTCGGCGCGAGATATCTCGCTGTAGAGATCGAAGACATGTCGGAGATGGAGTTTGCTTCTAGTTGTCAGAATCCGTACAAGCTCGTCGTTCTCGATGGCTAGATGTCCTTCTCGTCCGATCGTTTCCGCAAGAGCTTCGGCCTCCGACTTTGCAGTTTTCTCATTTACCCTATTCCCTTCGTATCTATAAGCGCTCACAAGCCCCACAAGTAGCTGTTCATTGAATATCATTAGCGGAATTGATCTTAATATTTCTTAAAAAAAATTATAACATTTTCTTATATTGTTAAAAACTAAAATAACCTTTCATAATATTTCTTAAATATTTTTTCCAATATCTGGATCGAATGCCCGAAATCTGGATATCCGAAACCATGGATATATACGAGATTAGATTTAAAATCTTAATATCCGAAACCTTCAAACACATATTCAGATATTATAAAATCTTCGGTTATACGGTCCACATCTCTTAGAAGCATTTAAAATGAAAATATTTTATTGTATATAAAAACCTTGCGAGGAGGGCCGTGGACGTGAGAAGCGACGTCCTCTTCCATGGACCGATCGAAGAGAGAGTGATAAGCTCTGCGAGCACCCAAGAGCTCATGGGAAGAGCGCGTGCATGTCACCTCCACTATTAGGTTATAAGACTTCGGTCCCTTTTCCAATGCCTTCTTCACCATCCTCGCATCTCTCTCCCATGCATGCATCGTCCACATCGCCACCGCATTCTAACCCATATTATAAATTAAAAAATTACATAATATCACTTTTTTACATATTATTATATTTTTATCTCATTATTTCCGACCAAAAAGTGTACATATAGATTTCGCTAATACTTTGTCTCCGCGATTGTTATACGAAATTGCTCTAATTCAACAGGGATCAAATTCTAAACTAGATAAGAAACTCGTGGACCATTTATTTGTTTTGTGATATTTCATATGGTATTTATAGAGTTTCATATTAAAATTCATTTACTAGACCAAGGTGATTAAATACATCTAAATAATCCGTGTCAGCTGTCAGGTATGTTTCTTAAAACATTGTATAGCATTACATCCAATGTCTTTATGAGAATAGCAGAAATTTAATTTACAAGTTTTTGAAATAGCAATTTTAAGAGGGATGATCAAATAAATTTAACTGGGAGGTATTGTACACATTCTAAAATTAGGGTCGAAAGTGTAATTCTGAAAATTTTAGGGTCAGCTCTTTCTCGTGTTCCGTTGAAACGGAGTCCAACATAATTGTTGGGTTTAACGTTAATTAATTCCCTTAATAACAATTAACGTTAATTAATTACGTTAATCAGAAGAAAACAAACAACAAAAAAACTCACATTGAAGCGCGTGAACTCTTGCTTGAGATGCATGAGGAACTGATCTTCGCATCTCTCGAAACCCCTCTCGTCTTCAACGAAGAATTTAGGGTTCTCTTTTCTGAACGATCTTCGATGCTCCAAATGAGAATTCCCCAGAATCGAAACCAGTGATTTCTCGTCCACTCCCAACCCTAATTAATCGCAATCGCTCTTCGTTAATCACAATTACTTAAACAATTAATGAAAATTATAATCTGATTATTACCTGATATCGCATTAGAGAGAACTTCCAAATCAAGAGAAACATCCATTTTTGTTCGCGTGTTTTTTCCCCTGTTATTTCGTCTTTTGCAAGTACGCTTTAGAAGAAATGGCGGAATTTATACGAAGGTGACGAAGGGTAATATTGTGGTTTCGAAGAGAGGGTCAGGGCAATTTGGGTACATACGACCGTTTTTAATCGTGCCCTTCTCTTAGACAAACGTCAAAATGCTATAATGATGTTTCCATATGAATTTATTGCACGTTTGTTAATAAAAAGTTTTGAAAAAACGGTGCGCATTGAATAAGCTTGCTTTATTGATAGATATGATTTACATATAATAATATTACACATTAATATATATATATATATAGTTTGTTTATAAATTGAGATAACCTCTATTTTTTCGTGCGATGTAAATTGTTCGTATGGTTCATTAATTTTTTTAAGTAAAAAATAGCATTTAAATTTTATTGGATTAAAAACGTAATAATATTAGCTAAAATCCAATCAAATGTTTAAATTCTTTTCAAGATTCATGCCAACTCATTCCCAATAGTTTTAAGCTTTTTTTTCTGATAGAAAAAATAATTCATGGAAAAAAAAAGTTGAATAATGGAATCATGGTGCATGGGAGACTTTTAAAGGTGACGAAAAAGACAAGGCAATACAGTGTGAACTTAGGAGAGAACAGCTCTTCATTATGTTTCAGGCTCTCACAGACAAAACAATTGAACATAAAAGACAAATATCACGTTTTACACGAGGCGATATTGTGAATTTTCAGAAACTTTATCTTCTGAATTTTCACAATAAGAATTATCTGAATTTTATTAGATTTTTTTTTTGATACATTGGGTAACTTGTCCCATAATCCTTCGGGTCACAGCCCAATGAACCAGACAATGATACCATCAAGACAGTATCGCGGACCAAAGAAAACTCCAAACCCACGCGCACGAACCTGCAACACACACGTGGGAGATAATCAATCATAATTGACAAACGACAGGTGAGAGTTAAAGAGATGTCAAGGAGTCGAACCCCCGATCTCATGGTTTCCCGTCATGTTTCTTAACCAACTCACATCGGGTTTTCCCCCAATTTTACTAGATTTTATATGTCGTTGATTAATAATTAATGTTTAGGGAAAAACATATATGATTTTAGGGTTCGAAAAATTTAAGTTCGAGTTCGAGTTTCGCCCACACAATTACTGTAAATCATATTCGGATGTTAACATTTAATAATCGAATATTTATAATATCCTCATTCTTTTACCAATACTACAAATTTGTCCTAAAATTTTTTTAATCATAAAACAAAATACGTTTTCCGAGTTGGGTATATATATGAACATTTTGGTAATAAAAAATAAAAGATAGAGTTGGATATACCCGTAAATATTTTGAATTTTTTGAATTCCGAAACATTTAATCAGGAAGGAAATATTCGAATTTAAATTGGAATAATTCAAAATCTTTGCAACATCCAGCTCGATCGACCCGACTTCCAACAGTAATACGTATGAAGGACAAAAACACAGTCATGAATATGTCATGACAAACGCTAAAACTATATATTATATTATGACACACCGCCCATGAAGACTAGATAAGGTGGTAGGGACAAATGAGACTTTAGCCTCAAGAACCATGTTTGGTTTATTGTTCGATTTGCGTGCATGATGTACAATATATATATATATATATCGAATTAACGCGTAATTACTTGACAACTATGTTCAATATTTCTATAATTAAATTTATATATATAATATATAAGAAAAAAACCATATGATTAAACATATTAACAGTTTTTCAATTATTAAAAGAAGAAATTTCATTTTCGGATCGAGACATAGATCCGATCATTTATTTAAATGGTTAAAAACGTGTGATTTGTATTTTTTGACGAGTCCCCGGCTGTTTCAATTATTACGTTTGACCACACAAACACATACACATAATGAGATGTAGTCAATAGTCGTTTCCCCTCGGAATATATATATATATATATTAATCTTACAGATATTTGGGTTTTCTAGATCTTCAAAATATATTTGGAAGATAATTTAAATATGTTTAATAAAGAGAACTATAGAGCAATAGACCAATCTTCATACAAAAAAAATTTAAAAAAATAAAACCAGCCTTAGAAGGCATTATATGAAAAATACCCTATATATATTATTTTAACTTTAATCTATATCTTTCTCAATTGTAACTATGTGACCAAAATTATAATTTGATTATATGATGGTCATATTGGTTATAATTTAAAATTATTAATAGTTTTATTAAATGATTAGTTTGATATGTAAAGAATGAATATGGTGAAATAACGTGATCAATATAAATTTAATATTATGAATAATATAATTATTATATGACTAAATTATAATTATGATCATATAGTTTCGACTGAAAAAAATAGGTTAAAATTAAAATAGTATATGGAGGTTATTTTTTTTATAATGTCCGCCTTGGATTTGATTGCATGTCTACTAATTGTCCCGCGAAACTGACGTCGCTGGATATTTAGGGTCGTGAAGTAATTTCTGTTTCCTAGTGAGGGCATTCCCGTCATTATACATATAAACTGCAAAATAACCTCGCCCATCTCTGGAAAAATAAACGGAAATAGACTTGCATCTAAACAAGAACAAAACAGAACCTTAGATCACGGAGGAAAATAAAAGGGAAGAACATCCGAAATAATCAAATTTAAAGAGAGACAGAGAGAGAGGAATGGCCACCATTAGAATCCCAGATGATGTTCCTTCTCCAGCCCAAGACTGTGAAACTCTCAAGAACGCTTTTCGAGGTACGTATAATCACTTTGTATACACGCGCACATGTGTGTGTGTATACACGCATGTGTTTGTGCGTTTTAATCGATTTGATGCATTTGTTTAGTGCCCATCTCCAAATCGGCTTCTGGGTATTTTGTGTTTGGGGATAATTTTCGGTTTTCCGTTTCGAAAACGTGAAAATCTCGTGATTTTGCATTTGTAAACACGGCGAAGACACGAGATAGTGAAGGGTGAATTCTGACTTTTGTAGGATGGGGAACTGATGAGAAGGCCATTATAAAGGTTTTGGGACAAAGAAACGCGAGTCAGAGAAGGAAAATCAGAGAGACATACAGAGAGATTTACGACAAAGATCTCATCGAAGAGCTCTTCTCCGAGTTGTCTGGAGATTTCTTGGTATATCAAATCAACACTTTCACGTCCACTTTTTCGCTAGACGTCAAGATTCCGGAGCTTTTCTAATCTTTAATTTAGTTTCCAGACTTTAATTTGCAGCCGTTATCTTTATGAGTGTGCATTGGATGAATCTCCTGTAGCTGTAGATTGTGAACTTGTTTCTGAAATCCACATTCATTAAATCCCCGAAATTGGAGATTCAATAGCGGAGAAGTGATCATTATGATGTTAAAAATGTAGAAAGCGGTGATATTATGGACATATGATCCAGCGGAGAGGGATGCAAGGCTGGCGAATGAGGCGTTGAAGGTGAAGAAGAAAGGGATAAAACATCTGAAAACGATAGTGGAGACTGCTTGCACGACATCTCCAAACCATCTGATTGCTGTCAGACAGGCTTACTGTTCTGTCTTCGAGTCCTCTCTGGAAGAGGATATTGCAGCCTCTTTGCCTCCTCCCCTTGCAAAGGTTAACAAAAACATGTTCCTAGTTTCTTGAAATGTCAGTATTTTACGATAATTGTGTTGTTTTATTTTGAAATGCATTCTGAGCTCGTTTGGTAAAACGGGTGTCAAAGTTTTGCGCTTTTCCTGTCGAAACTCAGGCTTCGTAACGAAAAGCTGACTTTGTTGTCATTTCTGATTCTGTGTAGATTCTGTTGGGTTTGGTCAGTTCATACAGATATGACAAAGAGAAGGTGGACGCAGAAGTAGCTGATACAGAGGTAGCTATGCTGCATGAAGCAATTGAAAACAAGCGGTTAGATCACGACCATGTCATGCACATACTCGGAACCCGGAACTTCTATCAGCTCAGAACGACGTTCGATGTGTACAAGCAGAAATTCGGGAACACAATCGACAAGGTTCAGATCACGATGTCTTGTTTTATTATGTTTCTTGTCTTCTTTCTTCTGGTGATTTGTTATTTCTTGCTCATATTCATGCTGTTGTCTTGACAGGACATCGACGGATGCCTTGGGGATGCTGATCTGAAAACCCTCTTGCAGATGGCTGTCTTGTGCATAGAGTGCCCTGAGAAACATTTTGCAAAGGTACCACTGGTTTCACTTGGCTGTTACATCTTTTGTCTGAATTATAAAACTACAATGGGTGAGTAATCAGACAAGAACATAACCCATGGAGCCTAGAACAGAAGTTGAAGCCGATGACTCTGAGATCTGCCCGTAGTTCGATGGAAACCAGACAAAACTAAAACCGAACATCCTCAATTCTACTAACAGAAAGATTACCAGTTTCCAATACTTAAAAATGGAACTTCAGTAACCAAACCCGAAACTGTACTCTGTTCAAGACAAGTGAACAGAGCAAATATGTTATACCTTAGATTCTCGTCTTATCGGTTTTACAGGTTGTGAGAGAATCCATCGAGGGTTTCGGAACAGACGAAGATTCATTGACGAGAGCGATTGTGACACGAGCTGAGGTCGACATGATGAAGGTACGAGGAGAGTATTTCAACATGTACAATACAAGCATGGACAATGAAGTCATCGGTGATACTTCTGGGGATTACAAGGACTTCCTCATGACCTTACTTGGATCCAAAATCTGATGTTGCTTTGGTGCTCTTGGATCTTTGCTTTATGTATCTTTTGTCAATTTTCTTAACAATAATTTCTGAGAATTGGAAGAGACAAAACGAAAACGAATTTCTTTGATCTCAGGTTGTTCACGGAATCAAGAGAATCTCAAAATATTTGGGTTATTTTGTCAATTTAAATAGTTTGATCTGAACTTGAAATATCTCAAATTTGTTAGGGCTTAAATGCAAATGTGGAAGAGTTTACTTATAAAAAATTGAAATGAAAAAAAGGCTTGGGCCGTCGTCTTTAAGCCCTCGTCGCCGTTAGGGTTTATCGATCTGTTCTTCACTTTCTCGCGTTTCCTCGGCGCCATTGTCGGATTTCTTCGTCCTCTTCGTCGTCGCCTGTGCACCGTAAACTCTCTCTCTCTCTCTCTCTCTCTCTCTCCCTCTTTTGTTTTCTCATTCGTTCTCTCTACTTTCCGTGCCCGAGAACTCGGCACGGGGCTTTATTGGCGATCATATGTCGACTCGTTTCTAGGAAAAAAGTGCGTAGTGAATTAGGCTCCTCTCACTCTCATCATTCTAATTACATTCTTGGTCGACGGAATTTCTTCAGAGAAAAGCTTAGAATCGAATTCTTTCCGAGCCAAAAGGACCTTCAGCTGAAATAATCATGAAACTAGATTTTGGAACAATGACAAACTTAAACAAACACCAAAACAATGACATGAAAGATTTTGTACTGTTATCTTGCCTTTTCTTTTGACATAGTCGTTAGAAAATGTGTTGCTTAATATACGAGATTTAACCTTTTTCACATAATGCCGTAATCAGAAGAAAAAGAAGAAGGCTCCTTCTGGTCTCTGTCAAGATGTTGCGCAGAAACGTTAGGTTAAGGAAAGAGTATCTGTACAGGAAAAACTTGGAAGGCAAAGAGCGTTTGCTCTATGAGAAGAAGCGGAAGATCAGGGAAGCTCTGCAAGGTGATATGAAACTCTTCTCATTTCTATTGTTATCCTTTAAGTAAAGGATAATGAGTTTCCTTCACAGTTCATGACTTTGATTTTCTTATTTTTATTTTTTGGTGTTCTAAGTGATGATCCTTGTGTTTTACAGAAGGAAAGCCAATTCCTACTGAGCTGCGCAATGAGGAGGCAACCCTTCGCCAGGAAATTGATCTTGAAGATGAAAATACTGCCGGTACTTCTGGGTTTTCCTCTCTTTTCTTTGCTTCTTTTCCTCTCGCTGCCTCGCTGGTTTAAACCCTGAAAGTTTAGGTTTCCTCTCCAAGTTTTAGTCTTGAGAAAATGAATTTTGGAGCAGAATTAGTGGGTTTGTCTTGTGAAAGCTTTTGTGGATGCACATCTGAGGTAGAATTGGAGAGAAGTAAAGCTGTGTGATTGTATTATGTCGATGCTACAATTTACATGATCTATGAGCATAATACTGTATCAGTAGTCTTTTTGCTGGTATTAGTTTCTGAACTTGTGTCAGAGATTCAAAAGCCGACATTTGAACCATTCTTCATTGGAATAAGTTGAATGATCAACAGGATTGCTTCGTTGTTTTAAAAGAAGGAATATCCTGGTTTTGAGTTAACGTGGCTGAGGCACAAGAGCTGCATTTGTGCCATATGTTTCGTTTTTACTCTTTGATATGTTCTGTTGGGATTTAACCTGTGATTTCAGAAGTTTCTATCATTCTTTGCTTTCTGGTCATTGGTCAATGAGTGTTATGATGAATCATTATGGAGAAAAGGCTAGTGGTTAACTTTTTTTTTCTTGCTGAAATATAGTACAGCGGACACATATTGATGATGAATATGCAAACGCGGCGGAAAAAGATCCTAAGATTTTGCTGACAACCTCTAGGAATCCAAGTGCCCCACTCACACAATTCGTAAAGGTATGAGTAGTTATGTTATCTGATATGTGTCTGCATACTCAGTTGCTCTTGTTTCCCTTTGTTTGTCCCAGTTTTATGTTGCTATCAATTTTGATGTTAACCTCTCTGCTGATATGAAATTTTGATGCAGGAACTGAAGTTTGTATTTCCTAATGCACAGAGAATAAATCGTGGTGGTCAGGTCTGTATGCTGTTATAGCCACCATCTTTCTTTCTATGCTCGTCTAAATTAATTTTGTCAGCAATCACACGTTTTGCAAGGAAACAGATACCTTCATTTGGAACTACTCTTGAACTCCTCACTCCTTTTGGCAGGTCATTTCTGAGATAATTGAAACGGCTCGGTCACATGATTTTACAGATGTAGTGCTGGTTCACGAACACCGTGGTGTGCCTGATGGTCTTATCGTGTCTCACCTTCCATTTGGTCCAACTGCGTACTTTGGATTGCTCAATGTGGTATGTATTTTCTGAACGATTTTATTTTTTAGCATTTTTACCTTTCTTTCTAGGTTATTTTTGTTAATCTTGACCCTCTTTGTAGGTTACAAGGCATGAAATTCAAGACAAGAAATCAATTGGAAACATGCCAGAGCAATATCCTCATCTTATATTTAACAACTTTACAACCATGGTATCATTTTCCCCAATCTGCAAGATATGTTATATATATATATATATATTTTATGTTATATATATATTTTCTCTCTAAGAATAAAGCCATTTGACATTTACATGTGCCGTACTTTGAATCAATTTATTCATCACTGCTAGGAATTGTGAGTATATCATATCGAAAAACAATTATATCCTCTGCTTTTGGATCTAGAAAAATGTTTGGTTACTTTCAGTTAGAATGATCAAGGTATCATTGCTTTCTTGTTCTAATTGGTTCCACTTCCTATTACATGACTTTAGCTTTGGTCAAAATCGTTGCTCCAACCATATGTACATTCTGAAAATTTTGGGAATACTATTTTTTTCCAGATTGGTGAAAGAGTTTCAAACATCTTGAAGCACCTTTTCCCAGTTCCAAAACCAGATGCAAGACGCATCGTCACTTTTGCTAATCAATCTGACTATATTTCATTCAGGTCAGTTTTTATCGTCATCCGTTTTGTTGCTTTTCTATGCCTATCGAGTTCTATAAGCCTTATGCCAATGATGATTATGTATGGACACTTGCAAATTAACTTGTAACTTCGATAACAATCTATTTGTCTTTCCCTTGTTCGATGCGGGAAGTTTCTTGCTGAGAAAACGCAGGTTAGGTTTCGTTTCTCATTCTCAACTCACTATTGAAAATCTTCTGAGCATACAGGAATCATGTCTACGAAAAAGCAGGAGGCCCAAAATCGATTGAACTCAAAGAGATTGGTCCTCGGTTTGAACTGCGACTCTACCAGGTATGAATACATCCTCCACATCCAGATCTCCAAGAAATCATCGTGTTCTCCGTTCATTTGTTTACTTGTCGAAAAATTCCGAGTTCTAAAAAGTATCATTTTCCTTGTGTAAAAATTACAGATAAAACTTGGAACTGTGGAACAAAACGAAGCGCAGACAGAATTTGTCATCAAGCCTTACATGAACACAGCCAAGAAACGCAAGTATATCGGCGATTGATCCGAATGCCCGGAGCCTTTTTTTTGTGTTCGTTCATGGTGAAGTTTCTAGAATTGCGGTTTTGATAAGTGGTGTAAAACCATGAGCAGATCGTTGTAAAACTTATCGTTTCTATATTTGTTAGATAAATCTTTGATTCAGTTCAGACAACATAGTATTTGCTCCCATTGCTTTGGAACACAGCTATGATCTCTAAAAGACATCCTCCTCCAGTTTACTAGTCACGTATATATTCTCCTATGTATGTGATTCCTTTCCTGGTTTTGTTAATATAACTATAAAATTTTGTTATATTTGTGTGATTCATATATCAGACTTGTTGAATAGGTTTTCTAATTAGAATTTACAGAAGACCACACAAAAATTATTAATTAAAAATAATCTGATTAAAGTTTATAGATAATTGATTTTTAATTTGTATTTTTAAATAATTTTTAATTGTTTTACTAAAAGTTATCATATGCTAAAAAACACAAAAAAAAAATCACTCTTTAATTGATTAGATAAAAAAAAAGAAAAGAAAAGAAAAATCTCTTTAAGTGCGTAAAATTTGTCGTCCTCTTGCGTCCACGAGTTCGTTATACACTAAAAAGAAAAAATGGCTAACCAGCATTTCTCTCCACGAATCCATGGCTTCTCTGAACCATTATTCATGGTTGTCTTCTCCTCTCACCGAGGCTCCCTCCTTCTTCCCGTCTCCTTCTTCACAACCCAAATCCTGGAAACTCCCTCTCTCCCGAAACCAATCTTCTCCGGATTCCGACTCATCGTCGCCGGCGGAGCCCTCGCCTTCTTCGGATGTTGGGGCAGCAGTGGATCCGGTTAAGCTCGCACTGAAGAGAGCTGAATCTTACAAGAAAGCGAAGGCGGAGCAAGAGGACCGTGAGAGGAACGCCGGCGCCGGCAATGGTGGAGAGGAAGTGCCGGTTTCGATTAAGATCGCGATGCAAAAGGCTACGGAGTATAAGAAGAACAAAGTTGTTTTCGGTTCGGGTGGAGAGAATGGTCGAAATGAAGCTGAACCCAGTTGAGTTAGCCATGTTTTGTGTTGAAATTTGCGGAAGTAATAGACTGTTTTCGTGTCTGGGTTTGGGGAACTTGATTGATTTCTCTTTTCCATTTGGTTCATTGGAGAATCTGGTAGAATAAAACGAGGGTAAGGCAGACAATTTGCCGGAACAGAGTAGTCATTGAGGTTTAGATGGGTCGCATTAGTGGGTAAGTATTGATTCTGATAAGGGTATGAAGTACTTGTGGTTGTCATTGTACGGAAATTGATGAAAAATGTCTTGCTTTGATCCTTCAATGTATACATATCGTAATGCAACATGAATTTTTGGGGTTTTGCTCATGATGTTTTCCAGGTTCGAGTGAAAACAGTTATGATGTATCACCAAATGAGGTTGTAGACAATAAGAAGCAAGAGCTGAAGGTCTCCAGTATTGATTTCTTGGGGCTTGGCTTTGCGGATAAGAAGAGTACAAGGGGGCTTCCGCCGGGACTGGTCCCCATTGTAGACTCTTTTCCTGTGGGAGATTTGCCTGAGGTGGAGATCATAGTTGGCGATAAAAGAAAATTTGAGGAGGCAGAGATGCCATTGCCTGCAGAGCCTGAGCAAGTTGGGGAGGAAAACTCTGATGTATATAAGCCCAAAGTTTCAACATGGGGTGTTTTCCCAAGACCTAGCAATATTTCTAAGACGGTAAGCCAGTAGTAAATGTCGTTTTACGTTTTATGCAGCTACATCGGGAAATTTTGTTCCAGAACCCGAATGGAAACTTTGAGAGAAGTTGCTTGTTCACTATTGTTAAGAGCTCGTAGATGAAGCCTCTTGTTGCAGACTTGCACTGCATCCAAATTTATAGATGTTGGATTGCATATCTCATTTTGGTCTTGGCCTTGGTGCTCCAGAATATTTACACTCTGAAAGATTTGCATTCTCAATTTCTATGCTTGATGGCAATGAGTAAATATGTGTAGTGATTTTGCAACTCTATTTTCTCCAATATAGCTTTTTAATTAAGCTTAGGTAATAAACCTGTGAAACTGGTACATATGAGAATGTATCAGGTAAATTTCAGTGAATGAATATGCGTCTGTCTACTAAAAAGTTTGAGAAGTCTTTAACCGCTATTGTTTTGAAATGCTTATCTTATGGTATGGTTGAATTTTATGGTCCCAAGTATGTAGTATTGGCTTATAATGAAGCTGTGACTGACATGATTTATTATTCTAGTTTGGTGGTGGGAAGAATATTAGACCCGGGGATTCACTTGAGACTGCTGAAGAGAAAGCTGCTAAAGAAGAAAAGACAAGGCGGTTGATCGCTGCCTACAAGGAGCAAATTGGATTGAATGTTGATCCAAAACTCAAACTTGAGTGCGAGGAGGTACTCTCAGAATTTGTTTGTTTCACTTTCTTGAGGTTGAGGATAGACCAGGTGCTGAAATCGTTCTTTATTATATTTAGTTTGAATGTCTGGTTTTTAGAGGTGGTGTAGAGCTGGAGCATGTCAATTCTGAACTGTTTGGCCCTTATCCAACAAACTCTAGGTAGTGGTGTTTACTCTTTAGAACTCCTGTAAAATTTTCAACTCTGTGAAAGAAATGGATATGGTTTTGCTCGAGCAGATTCTCATGCTCTCCAAATCTTTGCAATTCACTACAGTCTCTGGAAAGAAAATGAATTCAATGGGAGGACAATTTCAAATGTTAATAATCTACCATACTTGCTCGATTAGTCGATTTCATCACTAGATATAACCTACCTCGCCAACCAATTAGAAAAACATTTTCATATCATTATGCTAACATTTCCATCTTCTGCTCCTATTGCCAACATTGTTTTTCGTTTGAGGATCTGGAATGATGTTTGCTCTTCATCTGTTTTGTCCAATAATTTTTCCCTATCTCTTTCACCATGATAGGCATTGGAGACTGGGAACTCATTTATGGATTCTGGAAAACTCAAAGAAGCTTTACCCTATTATGAGAAGGTGATGGAGAAAATGGTTTTTAAGGTAATTCTTCAGAAGCAGGAGTATAACTCCTTTCCGAAAAGTATGTTTACTTTAATGTGTATTCTACCTATTTGTAGTTTTGATGATTTCTCTCGAATACTTGCGCTTCTGTTTGTAGTTTTGATGATTTTGTTGTGTGTGCATGTGTGTATTCAGTATTTTTCTTGATTCTGAATCCGAAAAAGAACCATTCCTTGATTCACTTATATTGACCTAAAACATGAACAGCAGCCCTTCTATTGTTGAGAGGGCAACAACGCATATTACCCTCGCATGTGCATGGCCTAAATAGCACATATGGATGGGGTCGTTACAACCATCTGGACAAAATGATCTAATTTTGAAAAGGCCATCATGTCGGAAGTTTCTTATTTCATGGCAATCAATTTGGGTCTAACTCTTTACAAGTTTAGCTGTGCAGAGTGAGCTTCATGGATTAGCAGCTTTGCAGTGGTCTATCTGCCAGGATTCACTTCGAAAGTAAGAAAATTGTTGGCAATGAACTGTTGTGTCATAGATTCTGAAAATTGTTGGCTATGGCTATGAATTAGTGGAACTTAATGTGCTATGATATGCCTGAAAAATACCATATGGTCTCGGAAGTGATCTTGAATGTTGTTTGGAACGATTGACAGGTCAGAAAAAGCTCGGGTCATGTACGAGAAGCTTCAATCTCACCCAAATCCAAATGTGAGCAAGAAAGCAAGACAGTTTATGTTCAGTTTCCAGGTAACTTGTAAAAACACCACTCGTTCTTGTTTCCAGAAACTTCATGTTTCAGACTTGACAACTGGTGAAACTGGAAAAACGAAACCTCGAACTATGAAATAGACGTCTAAATAATCTATTCGGTCCCGAATCATTCATAATGTTTTCTCTAACCCCTTTGCCATTCTCTGTAACAATTTTTCACATACATTTTCCTGTAATGATAGGCAATGGAAATCATGAAGCTTCGGGGCTCAAGCCTCTCACCGAGAAACACGCTGTACCAGAACTATTTCGAAGCGTTTATCAAAGACAAAATCAATTACGCATCGCAAGACAATGACGCTGAGGATACGGGAATAAAGCAGACCCTCCCTTATGTGATTTTTCTCGTGTCTCCAATTCTGCTGGTGTTCATTGTTGCTGTACAGAGAGGTAACATGAATTAAAGACATAACTTTCTCGAGTTTTTCATTCAAAGTGCTGTAGGTGCGGGACAAAATCGGATCATACAGATTCAGATCTAAATTTGTCGCTATTTTTTTGTCCAAAACGTGTTTGTATGTTTCAAGATGACCTCAACAAATGGATCATCAAGTGCAAGAGATCAGTTGAGGGCATTCAACCCAAGACAACAACAAACCCAAACTAACAATTACCAAGATTATGGAAGTCGAAATCCAAATTAACAAACTATGTCTTTAACAAAGACAAACACAGCTCAAAATAAAGGCCTAGAAGTTATAACATTAAGCTCATGTACACACCTAAAGGAGAGGATGTCCAATGAAAAAAACTAATAACCGAAAAACCAGTCAAACACTAAGAACAAGACACAACTAACTAATTAGCAAAAAAACTCGAAACCATATCTCAGTCCTTGGTAGTTTTGTTGATGAGGGATTTGTGGATGTGAGGGATGACACCTCCTCCAGCAATGGTACCCTTGATGAGAGTGTCGAGCTCTTCATCTCCTCTGATGGCGAGCTGCAAATGCCTTGGAGTGATTCTCTTCACTTTCAGATCCTTGCTTGCATTCCCAGCCAACTCCAGAACTTCTGCAGTTAGGTACTCCAGAATCGAGGCCATGTACACTGCTGCTGTGGCACCGACTCTTCCATGAGCAGAGACTCTGGTCTTGAGTTGCCGGTGGAGACGACCAACTGGAAACTGTTTACAACAATGTAAGAGTGGGACAGGAAATCTGTTGGGAGGAATACATTTCATTGGGAGGAGGAATAATTTCAATCAAGATTTGCAAATGAAAACAACAGCCATGTCTAATGTTGTCAGAAAACAAACACAATACAAAGTGATATCTTGCTTAAAACCTTCTTCAACATTGACCAAGCAACAAGGCAACCAACAACATCCAAAACAAAAACAATAGATTCCCAAAGCATCCATCGGGTATGAAGAAACTGCACTTGCAGGAGAAAGGTTGATCCCCTATGATGTTAACATGGCAGAAACAGACGTGATTCTACCTTGGGTAGAAGAAAGATGCTTACACACTTCTTTCCAAGAAATTTAACAACAGAACATTTGGGAACCAGCATTGGCTGATAGTGTGTATCCAAAGAAATGAACTAGTTATCTTGGACAAGTTAAAGGGTAAACTTAGGGGCTATATACATGTAGTCATCTGTGTTCAATCTGCTATACACTACTCCATGCAACAAGAGATATGCAATCCTCGGTGATGGCACCTGCCTATTTCTTAGGGCAACTAACTACATGGCAATTCAATTGTGCATTTCTCACCGGAAACAATCACGCTTGGGCAAGTCCCAAAACCAAGACAAATCAGATGCATCGCAAAATTCCCCAAATTCCTTGGATTTCCAAGATTTACCTGAATACCGGCACGAGCAGACCGAGAGATGGGTCTCTTCTTGTCCTTGTCTTTGTCCTTGTTAGCCGCCGTCGTCTTAGCAGCTACAAGACCTTTCCCTCCTTTCCCAGCCATATCTCCAAAACTCCGATTTCCTTCTCTCGGACGCAATAGATAAACAAATAGAATCCTTAGGAAAAAAAAAAATAAACGAACGTCAAAAGCAAAAACCGTAACAGATCTGTCCGAAAAAACTTCAAAATCAAACAAATCGAGAAACCCACGACCGTAAACCCCAGAACATCAACGAAGATCGCAAAACTCGAAGCGTATCTCAAGAAATCGTCAGAAAAAGCATGCTGTCAAAGACCAAATCCAAGAAACGATGAAAGAATCGAGCAGAACTCAAACGAATCAACAGGACCCAGAAGCCTGAAATCGACGAGAGAGAGAGAGCAAACCTGAGACGAGATCGAGAAGAGCTGGGAAGAAAAGAACAAAGAGATGAAATAGGAAATCTAGCGTCAGCTCTGAAGAAGGGTTTTTAAATGGGAATCGTTGGGCGGGTTTTAAAAAATAATAATTTAAATCCTTGGGGGGAAATTTTATGAAATGGCGGTTGGAAAATATTTGGTCGGAGGTCAGATTCGTAAATTTCTCCTTTTAAGGTTTCCATTAGCGTAGATTAATTACGGGTGAGGAGGTGTTGTCCAGATGACACGTGGCACTGAAACGACGAGTAAGATTCTATTTGACATTTTCCCTCTCCTCCTATCTTCAATAAAAAATAATAGAAAAAAATATATTTGTTTTTGTTTGGTTTTAAAATATACTATAAAATATAATATAAGAATTTACAGTAAAAATATAAAAGGATATTATGTTTAAAACGTGAGAGAATATACAAAAGACCTACTATCATATTCGTTTGATAGAATTAAAAATGAGATAATTAAATACTATAAAATATACTATAAAATATAATATAAGAATTTACAGTAAAAATATAAAAGGATATTATGTTTAAAACGTGAGAGAATATACAAAAGACCTACTATCATATTCGTTTGATAGAATTAAAAATGAGATAATTAAATACGAAAAAAAAATTGTGTCTGAAGTTCAATGAAGAAAAAAACGTATTATTATCGTTAACTTTCTCTGTCTTTGAAGAATGCCCTTTATGCCCCGGTATGTTATATTTGTACATGGACCTATTTCGACAAGGTTAAAAACACGTGATAATCACCGCGACCATAATAAGTATGTTTTGTGTAACTCAGTAAAAAAAAAGTTCATCATGACGGTCCATGTCGATGAAATAGAACTGCTCAAAGAATGCATATCGACCATGTTGTACCTATGGTAAAACAATCTTGTGTCTTTAATGGATCAACTTGGGAGTCAAAACGTAAAATTATTTAAAAACATATATTATCATTAAACATGAAAACCATGCACAACGTTAGAGGTGTGATTTACTATGGGAGTTGAAGAAAACAAATTAATGTGCCAAGGGTCCGTTTATAATTAATTTAGAGTTTATAAGAAGGAGTCCTTCTTCGTTTCACAAAACAAGTCATCAATTTTATCTTTTTGTTCTACCTTACATATAAGATACAAAAATAACTAACCCTAAAACATCTCACAATATGGCAAAACTCAACAACTTGATGCTTGTGTCCTTCGTTGTTATGGGTTTGGTGTGTGCATCGATTCCTGTGTTTGCCGTCGAAGAAGGCGAGGCGAAACAGTTTTGGGATCAATGTCTAATCAAGATCAGTCCGAAATGCACTTTGGATATCGTCGAGGGTATTTTCGGAAACGGGACGGTGTCCGATTCTTGTTGTCCCGAACTCATCCAAGAGGGGAAGTTGTGTTACGACACTCTTACGAACTACATTGCGGATAGACCGATTTACGTTTCCCGTCGAACAGAGCTTTTGAAGAAGAGAGATGATTTATGGACTCATTGTGACTCCGTCTCTAAGACCGCTTAATAATATACATTATTTGATATATGTTATATGTTTTATTTTACATGAAATTTTATTTATTTGATATAAATTTTAAAATTAATAATACGTTGAATTTCAAAATATCATTATTTTGTAAGCAAACATTCTAAATTTTTTAGATGAATCGACACATTTATATTATAATTCAGAGTTATCTATAATTTCTATGATTTCACCCTTTAATACTAAAACCATTGGTGTATCAAACAATATATGTATGTCAAAAAACAAAGAGTGAAGAAAACAAATGAAGGAAGCATAATGAATTTTAAAATGTTAAACAATGTTGCGTCGAAAAATCATATTTTTGAACAGTCGGCCACCAATCTTTCAATTTCTCTCGATATAAAACTGTATGATCATTTCAATTCGATGAAAAGTTATTTTCTATTATTTAAATTTTACATATTGTATCCAACTCTATTTATTCCATATAAATCAGTATATTTAAATAGCACAAGGTTTTTTGAAAATTCATCATTTGTTACTTTAATATAGGTTTGAGTGGTATAAAATAAACGAGAAAAATATCTTTTATATTTTACTCCTCTATCTTTAAATTTATAATATTGATAGAATTATAAATAAAAAATAGATAAAAGGATTTATGTTTAAAACGGGACAGAATATTCAGACGGCCATGTGTTATAATTTGTATGCTAAAACAATAGTGTTTCTTTACAGATCAAATTGATTTCATAGCAGTGATGGACCAACTTGGGAATCAAAACGTAAAATTGTTTAAAAATATCCTATCGTTAAGCATGAAAGCCATGCATGCACAACGTATAGAGGTGTACGTAAGAGTAAGAGAGAAACTTCTCAATAATTACTACGGGAGTTAAAAGAAAACAATTAATATAATGTGTCAAAGAGTCCGTTATAATTGATTTAAATTTTATAAATAGGAGTCTTACATATTTTATTTCACACAACACATCTTTTTCTGTTCTCAATTGAATACAAAACACAAAAAGTTAAACCCTAAAGCTTTCTATAACAAAATGACGAAACTCAACAGGTTGGTGGTTGTGTCCTTCATTGTTATGGGCTTGGTGTGTGCATCGGTTCCTGTGTCCGCCGTCGAAGAAGGCGAGGCGAAACAGTTTTGGGATCAATGTCTTATCAAAATCAGTCCAAAGTGTACTTTAGATATAGTCGAGGGTATTTTCGGAAATGGGACGGTAGCGGATTCTTGCTGTCCCGAACTTATCCAAGAGGGAAAATTGTGTTACGACATTCTTACGAACTACATCGCGGATAGACCGATTTACATTTCCCGTCGGACAGAGTTTTTGAAGAAGAGAGATGATCTATGGACTCATTGTGGCTCCGCCTCCAAGACCGCTTAATAACATCTATTTGATATGCTAATTTATCTATATATTTTATTTCATATGTAATTTTATTTATTTGATATAAATCTATAAATTAATAATACATTGAATCTCAATATTTCATTGTTTTGTAAGCAAATATTCTAATATTTGAGACGAATTGATATATTTACATGATAAACCAAAATTATCTAGAATTTCTGTGATTTCACCCTTTAATACTAAAACCATTGATATATCAAATCCAAAAGTTTTTTTTTTAAGTGATGTGGGAAGATAACAAAGTATGGATATTGTAAAAAAAAATGAAGTGAGAAGAAAACAAAATAAGGAACCATAATTAGTTCTAAAACGTACAACTTCTTTGCATCTAAAAATCATATGTTTGAACCGTCGGCCACAAATCTTTCAATTCCTCAATTATTACCAACAAATTATATATATCTTGATATAAAACTGTATGATCATTTCAATTCGATGAAAAGTTATTTGATATTCTGTAAATTTTGCATTGTATCCAACTCTATTTATTCCATATAAATCAGTATATTTAAATAGCACAATAATTTCTGAAAATTCATCATTTGTTAATAAACGTTCTAAATTTTCAAACGGTTTGTTTTTGTATTCAAATGATTTACTGAAGACATATAATTTCCACGATTTGTAACATACAACCAAGTTCTGAATACATTGGTTACTTTAATATGGATTTGAGTTGTTTAAAATAAACTACAGATAGAGAAAAATATATTTTTATATTTTACTCCTCTATCTTTAAATTTGCAATACAGATAGAATTATAAAATAAAATATAGATAAAGATGGGAATAGTTTTTGCAATAACTATAAGAGAATAATAAGTGTGAAATCCCATCTGGTTAAAATTGTGGATGTTATTGTCATTAAGCATGGTGCCTTTAAAAGTCTTAAGGTTAATTACGGGTGAGGAGGGTGTTATCCAGATGGCCGACACGTGGCATAATGAACCGTGTAAGATTCTATTTGACCATTTCTCTCTCCACGCATCGTCAATAAAAAAACAGAAAAAAATATTATCGTTTTTTTAATTTAAAAATGAATTATAAAATATAGTATAAGAAATATATTTAAAACATATCCTATCTTTAACCATGAAGTCATAAAAAAAAAAAAGCCATGCACAACGTATAGAGATGTAACAGAGAAACTTTTCAATAATTACTACAAGAGTTAAATGAAAACAATTAATTAATGTGTCAAGTGTGCGTTATAATTGATTTAGAGTTTATAAATAGAAGACATACATATTTCATTTCACATAACACGTTAAACATCACATCTTCTTTTTTGGTTCTATACTACAAAAGTTGAACCCTAAAGCTTCTAACAAAGATGGCAAAACTCAACGCGGTGATGGTTGTGTCCTTCATTGTCATGGGTTTGGCCTATGCGTCGACTCCTGTGTCTGCTATCGAAGAAGGCGAGGCAAAACAGTTTTGGGATCAATGTCTTGTCAAAATCAGTCCAAAATGTACTTTGGATGTAGTCGAGGGTATTTTCGGAAATGGGACGGTGGCCGATTCTTGTTGTCCCGAACTTATCCAGGAGGGAAAATTGTGTTACGATACTCTCACGAACTACATCGCAGATAGGCCGATTTACGTTTCTCGCCGAACAGAACTTTTGAAGAAAAAAGATGATTTATGGACTCATTGTGACTCCGTCTCTAAGACCGCCTAATAATATCTATTTGATATATGTTATCTTATATTCATATTTTATATTATATCAAATTTCATTTATTTGATATAAATCTATAAATTAATTAATAATACATTGAATCTCAAAATTTCATTGTTTTATAAACAAAAACTCTAAATTTTGAGACAAATTGATATATCATATACCAAAAGTCGAGAATTTATACGATTTCACCATTTAATGCCAAGCCGTTGACAAAATCAAATCCAAAAGTTCTCCTTTAGAAAATAGCACATGTGGAAGCCAAAAGCATCTATTTCCAAAACAGAGAGGAAAAAAAATGAACCAGAATTAGGTTTTAAATGTACGACCATGTTGCGTCCAAAAATCATATGCTTAAACCCTCCTTTCAATTCCTCAATTAATAGAAGAAGAAATATATCCTAACTATTTATCGTATGGTTATTCCCGAGAATCAATGTTATGAGAACAAAATATCCCCTTTTTATATATCGCCATAACGAAAAATACGTACGTACCCGAATATATAGATCATATCCATCAATATACAAAGGTCTAAATAAACGTTTCGCCTTTAGGGACTCGAATGCTAACACATCCCATATCATATGTGCTATTGCCATCGATACAATCTCTCTCTCTCTCTCTATATATATATATTCTAAGTTGTTGCCAAGTTTAACCGTACGTGCTGATACGGAACACGTGATAGCCGCTACCACATACATAAGTGTGTCTTGTCGGTAAAAGGGTTCATTATCACATGCCATATCAAATGCGTTTCTTGTAGTGATGGACCAACTTGGGAGTGAAAATGTAAAATTATTTAACACATGTCTCATCATTAAACATGAAAGTCATGTCCAACGTTATAGGATGTGAAACATATAAAACATTTTAACAATTATTATGGGAGTTAAATAAAACAAATTAATGTGCCAAGGGTCCGTTATAATAAATTTAGAGTTTATAAGCAGGAGTCCTTCGTTTCACAAAACAAGCCAAACAATATATCTTTTTGTCCCACCTTGAATATAAGATACAAAAGTTAAACCCTAAAACATCTCACAAAGATGGCAAAATTCAACAACCTGATGGTTGTATCCTTCGTTCTTATGGGTTTGGTGTGTGCATCGATCCCTGTGATTGCCATCGAAGAAGGCGAAGCGAAACAATTTTGGGATCAATGTCTAATCAAGATCAGTCCAAAATGTACTTTGGATATAGTCGAGGGTATTTTTGGAAATGGAACTATGTCCGATTCTTGTTGTCCCGACCTTATTCAAGAGGGAAAATTATGTTACGACACTCTCACGAACTACATCGCGGATAGACCGATTTACGCTTTCCGTCGAGCAGAACTTTTGAAGAAGAGAGATGATTTATGGGTTCATTGTGATTCCGTCTCTAAGACCGCTTAATAATATTCATTTGATATATGTTATCTTATCTTTATATTTTATATTATATCGAATTTCGTGTATGTGGTATAAATCTACATAACTAATATAATCTCGAATTTCATTGTTTTGTAAGCAAAAACATTCTAAATTTTGGGACAAATTGATATATCATACACCAAAAAAATTAAATCGAGAACTTCTATGATTTCGCCATTTAATGTGAAACCATCCACAAAATCAAAGTCAAACGTTCTCCTTCACAAGATAGCACGTGTGGAAGATGAACAAGACATCTATTTCCAAAACAAAGCATCCTAACTTATTCCCGAGAATCAATGTTTTCAAGAATAAAATCTCTATTTTGTATGTGGCCATGACGAATAATACGTACCATACATCCCGAATAGATTCCATCCATCAATACAAAGGTCTATATATAAACGCTTCGCCTTTGAGAAATCCAACGAATGTTAAAACATCCCATGTCATATGTGTTATTTCCATCGATATAATCTATTTATTCTAAAATTTTGCCAAGTCTAACCGTACGTGCTGGTAAAGTAATTTTATTTTTCTCGTAAAAAAAAATCCAAGTAACCATGCGCATTGAGACGAAACACGTGATAAATAAGTGTGTCCTGTCCGTAGAAGGGGTTCATTGTCACAGGCCATATCAAATGCGTTTCTTGAAGAGATGGACCAACTTGGGTGTGAAAACGTTAAATTATTTAAACATATCTCATCTTTAAACATGAAAGCCATGCCCAACGTTATATTGATAAACATTAAATGATCTATTTGGACGTGAAACACATAAAACATTTTTATAATTATTATGGGAGTTAAGAAACAAATTAATGTAACAAGGGTCCGTTATAATTGCTCTAGAGAATTATAAGTAGGAGTCATTCTTCGTTTCACATAACAAGACAAACAATATACCTTTTTGTTCTCCCTTGAATAGAAGATACAAAAGTTAAACCCTAAAGCTTCTAACAAAGATGACAAAACTCAAAATGTTGATGGTTGTGTCCTTCATTGTCATGGGCTTGGTGTGTGCATCGATTCCTGTGTTTGCCATGGAAGAAGGCGAAGCGAAACAGTTTTGGGATCAATGTCTTATCAAAATCAGTCCAAAGTGTACTTTGGATGTAGTGGAGGGTATTTTCGGAAATGGAACGGTGGCCGATTCTTGTTGCCCAGAACTTATCGTGGAGGGAAAGTTGTGTTATGACACTCTCACAAACTATATCGCGGATAGACCAATTTACATTTCCCGTCGAGCAGAACTTTTGAAGAAGAGAGATGATTTATGGACTCATTGTGATTCCGTCTCTAAGATCGCTTAATAATATCCATTTGATATGTTTTCCTATCTTTATATTTTATATTATATTGAATTTTATCTATAAAATATAAATCTACATCATTAATAGTACGTTGGAATTTCGTTGTTTTGTAAGCAAGCATTTTAAAAGTTGAGACGAATTGATAATTTGATATATTTTATATATCATACACCAAAATTATATATCCACAATTTCTATGATTTCGCCATTTTAATGCCAAAAACATTGACAAATCAAAGCCAAATGATTTCCTTCTTGAAGATAAACAAAGCATCTATGTTGAAAAACAATACATTCAAAACGTACAACCATATGCGTCAAAAAATTATATGTTTGAACCATCGATCGAAAACTTTCAATTCCTCGATTAATGGAAGAAGAAATATACTCAAACTCTTTTGTCACAGTTATTGTCGAGAATCAATGTTTTTAAGAAGGAAAATTAGAAGAAATAAAATTATCTCCATTTGTCCGCAACTTACCCGAGAGGGAAGGTTGCTATTACGCACTTGCCGTGCCCGCGGTGTTTATATATATATATACTCATTTCTCAATATGCATGCATGGTGGTTAGATATAAATAAAAATATCGAATAAGTTAAAAATCTAAATGTAAAAGTAAAAAGATAACGAAGCATCGGATGACATTTTATTATTAGCTAAGCCTGAAAAAGAGTTCCAATAATTGTGGAGTAGCCGACAGAAATCTCCGGAGACACGTTTCTGCAGTTTAAAGCGTCACTGCCGGCAGAGAAACGTGCCTGCGTTGTACTTGTATCGCTCTTGTGCATGCACCTCTTTTTTTTTTTTCTTTTATTTGTTTCTACTTTTTTTAGTTTATTAAAATCATTCTTCTTCGAATTAATATTATATATGTATATGTATAGACACACAGGATGAGATGTGAATTATATATATATATATATATATATATATGTGGTGATTTTTTGATCAGTTGTAACATTGTCTTTTCGCCCATTCGAAGGAGTGGATATACATATATGTGTAGATTCCAAGTTTGACCCCAAATATGTGTAGATTCCAATTGTAATGTATATAATATGGTATTTTGATTTTACTCATCGGTTTTGTTTACTTTAAATTCAATGGATATCAATTGATTCAAGTATAATAAATACATATTTCTATCCAAAATTTAATTTCATACTTAAAATTCTTTGGAAACAGGTAAAAATGATATTGTAATTGTGCGTACGGAAAATTGCATGGATATTTTTATTATGCGTTTTTTTAAATCCATATTATTTTAATCCGTGTCCAATGTCTACATGAGCCTTTTGTTTTTCATGTAAAGGAAAATCAATTAGTTAATAAGAAAATGTACAAAATGAAGAAGAATAAACTTAGCCATAGGACCCCATATTCAGTCATGGTAATCTTTTTGAAATGTTTTCTAAATCTTTTTGAGAGTATATCTATAATGGAATATACATCACTATATGTATCCATTGGACCCTCTTCATCCATAATATTTTTCGAATTGTTTCCTAAATCATTTTGGAATATAGAATATAGAAGAATGCATACGTCACTATACTTGGACTACATCAGATTCCAATATAATGCCATCCAATATATGGTTATCTATAACCTTGTGAGCTAAGCCTAAATGTTTTGGGTGACAATTTTTTTTTATAATTAAAAAATTTACCATACTTTCGATCCAACTAAATATATTTTTTAAAGAACCGAGAAATTTCACGTGAATATCACTTTCTAAATGGAGATTCGAACACGAATTAATAAAAAAGAAATTTATCTCATTCTTTACTAGTCGAGTTATCTAATATAGGATAGTTTTGGGTGATTATGTTAATTTCCTCATTGGACATTATTCATTCATAATACTTTTCGATACTTTTTCTATATCGTTTTATATTAGAAATATTAATTATACACACACACATATATATATATATATATAAAATGTTTTATAATATAATTTAAACCGAATTACGTAATCTAGATCGTTATTTTTTTAATCCAAATATACCTATAATTAAAGAAAAGGATGCTAGCAAAACACAAACTTAAATTGTGTTTTATATGCTCGAATTAAAAAATTTCCACGCAATGAATTGATTTTTGTATTGTCGAACGAGTAAAGTTTTTATGATTGAAGATATTTAGTTGACTTTTTTAAAAGATAAATATAAAAAAATGAAAAAATGATCTGTCAACCTACCAGCTTTTCATCCACTTTGACTTCTACACGCATACATACATACATCCCCATGACATCTATGATATTAGTGTTCATCATCATAAATTAGGGTCAACCTTCTCGATTTTATTTTACAAAGTCAAGATTTCCTTTTATATTAACACATATATTAAGGAAGATTTATAATTATTATACATTGCTACATTTGAAGAAAATATAATAAAAAACATTACGAATACGCACCTTTGTTTTTTTAATTATTTTTTCAACTGGCTAAGTAAGGGGTTTTTTTTTATACTTGATGGAATCTTATCTATCTTAATATGAAAAATAAAATATAAAAAGTAAACAATAATTTTTTAATGTCTTTAATTTATTTTAAATCAATTCAAGAAATATTATTTTTTTCTATAATAGTAAGTAAAATTTAATATTTTGAAAATTTTATAATATTTTGACTATTAAAATTGATTGATATATAAATATTAATTGTGTGAATATATTTTAGATTTGGATACGAATTTGAGTTTTATGTTTTACAGTATATATATGAGTTTTAATAATAAAATTACCATTTTAACCTTAGAGTTTAAATTATTTAAATGAATGTCATATATATAGCATGTTGATGACATATAATCTATAAATAACAACGTTACATCACAAAAAAGAAGAAGAAAAAATTGATTATATATCAGTATCTTGCTAAATTTTAATTTAACCACATCAGATTCCAATAAAAAAAAAATACGATGTTCCTTTCACGCGATTAATCTCACTGTTAACGGAGGCCCTGTGCAAATACTATATATCTATATCTATTATTTTTTATTTTTTAATCAATTATATATATATATATAAATAGAAAAATAATTTTATAATTATTTTTTATGATAACATTGTAAAATTTTTAAAAAAATTTATGACTCAATTTTTAAAAATTAAAAATAACATATTTTTTTTTTAAAAATGAGGTCCCAAAAATTAGAGACCCTGTTCAAATGCACCACTTGCACTCCCTATAAGACGATTCTGAGTCTCATATCAATGCATCGTCATTTTAAAAATTCATGGTTTTATTTAGATTTTTTATTTTATTTTGTATAGTATTATAAAAATATTAAAACTAACGTGTTAACATGGAATAAACTTTTTTTATAGTGATAATGAAATTCTAAATTGTAAAACATTGTTGGAAATATATTCTATATGGACAACTAGAAGTGCAAAAAAGAACAAACAGATAACACTACTGGTAAACAGTTGGCTTAAAACTTCAAATAAATAATAAATATTCTAAGAAAGTATATTCTAATACCATATTTGAATAAATATCATTGCAGAAATGTCATATGTATATATCCAAATTTGTGATATTTTAACATTTAATTGGTAAAAATGGATTATAAATTTTATTTTAAAATTCTTGAATATTTTTTTAAATCTAAAATTAACTTAATTTACTTATATATGTGTTTTGAAAATTGAGCTGATTGATATAATCTTTTTTTGAACACTTACTTGGGGTTAATAGACATAGACTCGTTTGGAAATACATGTAATAATAAGATTTGTAAAAATTCTGCAACTAACAATACAGTAGATATTACCGTTGACCAATAGCTTAATCTTGACAAAAACATACACTATTTTTTTTTGTAATATTTATAACAATGTAATGTAAAGAAATATTTTAAAATTTGTTTTGACATTTAACAAAGGACGATTTATATATAATAATAAAACTTTTAGAACCATACTAAATTCTAAAGCACAGTTAACCATACAATAAATGTATATTATTGTTAATTTTTTTACATAACATATTTAGATGCATTTTCTAAAACAAATTCATGGGAACATGATTCGTATCTCATATAATTTTTTTTATTTGAATATGATTTGAATATAAATATAAAAATATTTAAATCAAATATAAATATTAAATCTGCGAATCATTTCAATCCTCTGAAAATTTCAAAATATTTTAATTTATCTTTTTATAGAAAGAATTTCTTTGAAACATTTAGATATATAAAAAAAAATGTTGCGTTATATCACGAAACGTCCTTTTGGCAGAGAAAAAATTTGTTACGTTTTCCCCTTCAAACAAATATTTTTGGGGAAAACTATAATTTTTTTAATTAAAAACAAGTATCTTTAAACCATAAATGGAATAAAATTCAAGGCAGATATTATACGAAAAGTTACTAAATACATATCTATCAGGTTCTCGTATTCGTACCGTTTGGTCTTTACCGACACGCTTTTCGCTTCGCATCTTATTAAATGCCCGCAAATACGTACATGTACATATAAATACGTATTCGTACATAACATCTTCCTGTCTCTCTCTCCCCCTCGCAGGTTAGTGGCTTCTGGTTTGAGTTCTGGGGACAATCACAAGATTCCTCTTCTTTTTTCTTTTTTACCGGTAACTTTTTCCTTCTTCGAATCTATTGTTTCAGGTACTTCTCTTGAAATTTTCGTTTCCCGTCCTGTTTGGCCGGTCGGAAAATTTTCGTAGACTGACCCTTTTGACTTCTTCTGTTTCCTCTCTACTGTGTTTTGCCCAAACGGGCTCTCTTAATACATTCGTTAGGGCAATGATTTCTTTTTGTGATGGTCTGATTCGGGTTTAGGTTCGTTTCCGGGAAAATTGGAGGTCACCCTTTACTGTTTTCCCGGAAAATTGTATTGGGTTGGGTTTAAATTTTAAGATTAACCCTTCAAAATTGATGCTTTCGTTGGATGGTAACGCAGAAATTGTCTACAGTTCCTCAGTTTGTAAATCTACGAATATTGTCACATTGATTTCGTCTATGGATCTGTTTATTTCGAGATATTGTTTTCTTTTTCTTATATCGCTGATCATCAATGTTAACCAGCATGTATCGTTCTTACACGTCTGCAGCCTTTGATATTTGATGCTGAGAAAATGTTTGGATCTCTTGAAACGTGTTTGTATGCATCGTTTTGGTTACGCGAGTTGTTTTTTTTCAGTTCTTTGGATGCATGTTTTGTCGTGAACAATTTGCGTTGCATCCTCAGTCTGAATCTCATTTGCAGGTGCAACCGAATCTGGACGCAACTCTCATGATGAGCCATTTGATTCTGGAATCTTGCGCCGGAAAGATGAACCAAGAATCCAACGAAAAACCGTCTTGCTGGAACATTTTCAACGGGACGGAAACCTGTGGGGATCTCGACTTGTACTCTGCTCCCTTTCTGGACAGGAACGTTTGTTTCCATCAAACGGAACAGGAGTCGGCTGCTACCGTGGCTGATGATTTGACGGATGAAGATCTTGAAATGGAGGAGCTCGAGAGGAGGTTGTGGAGAGACAAGCTGCGTCTGAAGCGGTTAAAGGAACTGAGCAAGAACGGTAAAGTGGGGAAAACCGACGGTTCCAAGAAGCCTCTGCAGTTGCAAGAACAGGCCCGGAAGAAAACGATGAGCAGGGCGCAGGATGGGATCTTGAAGTACATGTTGAAAATAATGGAAGTCTGCAACGCTCAGGGCTTTGTCTACGGGATCGTGCAGGAAAATGGGAAAACTGTCACGGGATCGTCTGACAACCTCCGGGAGTGGTGGAAGGATAAAGTGAGATTTCACAGGAACGGCCCGGCTGCCATAGCCAAGCATCGGAGAGACAATTCTTCCGAGCCTGATCAGGATTTGGGATCCGTGTTCGCTGGCTCTACCCCAAACTTACTGCTCGAGCTTCAGGATACAACTCTTGGATCACTTTTATCAGCGTTGATGCAGCACTGTAGTCCTCCACAGAGGCGTTTTCCGCTAGATAAGGGTGTGGCTCCGCCGTGGTGGCCCACGGGGAAGGAAGATTGGTGGGTACAACTGTCCTTGCCCGAGGATAGTCGAGGTTGTCCACCACCGTACAAGAAACCTCATGATCTAAAGAAGGTTTGGAAAGTCGGTGTCTTGATGTCAGTGATCAAGCACATGTCTCCCGACATCTCGAAGATACGCCGGCTTGTGAGACAGTCTAAATGCTTGCAGGAGAAGATGACTGCAAGAGAGAGCTCCATGTGGCTAGCTGCTATCAACCGAGAAGAGGCCATAGTTCGAGAGCTTTACCCGGGCTATTTCGTCAAAGAATTCAGTTCCTTTCCTGTCCCTGGCATCAATGATTGTGATGTTATTGTCCCTACAGGCGAGTATGATGTTGATGGGATTGAAACCGAGCAGTATCCGAACGTGGAAGAACATTTCAGAGAGGAGAAACCAAACCGGTATGACTTTGGGATTGGGACAAGAGAGACAGTTGTGAATAACTTGGACATTGTCCAAAAGAGGAAGCTGGAGGATGATCTTGACTTGATGGTGCATCATAACATCTATACATGTGAGAATCATCTCTGTCCGTACAGCGAAAACCGAATGGGATTTGATGACAGGATCTCAAGGGACAACCACCAACTGACTTGTGTTTACAGAGGAAACTCCTTCGGGGTCGGAGCACCGAATTTTCATGTCAACGACATCAAAGCCATGACCTTTAACCAACCCTGTGTCCAGATCAAGCAAGCAGTACCGCCAAGCAAGCCGTTCACGCCATCCTTTGGTCTACAGAATCTTATGACTCCGGAAGACGGGAAAACGACCATTTATGATCTGTGTTCGAGCTACAATAACGCCTTTCAGAGCATCAAATCCGAAAACGAAGCAGTAGCCGGGGAAGTTCAGAGCATTCTTCAGCCGAACAGACAGGAAGATCAGATGAATCTTCACCACCTCTACAGACAGGTGAACAACAATCTCTTCGAAAGACCCGAAGCAATGCATGGAGATATCTTTAGCCAAAGGTTCGACTCGTTTAAGGGCATGAACCCGTCCTCTCCCGGGCCAAACCAGAACTCGATGTTAGCGTCACTTGTCCGAAGCAACGTTACACAAACTGTGGGAGTGGAGCATCTGCTGAAACAGGACCCGTCCGTGTGGTTCCAGTAAGTAAAGCTCATCTCACTTGACGAGCCTGGTCGTGTTTCTTTGTTGAAAACCCACATCTTTAACCTCTGATTTCTTGTCCATTTTAGACTTGGAGAAGACTCTAATTCATGTGCTGATTCTTTGATTCAGTGACCACATTTATGAACTAAACTGGGTTTGCATATAAATACAACTCAAGAATACTGTTTCTTCTTTCCTTGCGTGATCTCTTCTCGTAGTTATGTCGGGTTCGAATTCGGGTTTTGACATTACATGATTTATAAATTAACGTATATACATTTGGAGGGAAAATTAAAATATAAACGAAAAGAAAATGCGAGAAAAGTTGGAGAATGAAGTGTTAAAATAATATAGAATAGAATAAAGTGTTGCAATAGTAATAAAAAATAAATTTAAAAATAAAATATTGTAACTAGGATTTTTTTTATGAAAATTATATAAAAAGTCTTTAAAAAAATTTCCAATTTTTATTATTGTCTATTTTAAAAATATTTTTTTTTATAAATTATCCCATTCCATTGCTATGTTTCTTAAATTACGAACCAGATAAATCGTTCATATTAGTGATACCAAATAAACTATTCAGCATTCACAAGAGTTAGTTGGAAACTTTCCTCCCAAAAAAATAAAACGTAGAAAAATATAAATGAATATTGTGAAACAACTTAATTCGGTTTTAATTTGATTTGAATTTAATTTAATAACTCGTCAAATATATCATGACATTTATTTTATCTAGAAAATAAAACGCTTAACATGTTTTTATTGGAAAAACAAAGATAGTTTAAGAAAATATGATAACACGAGATATTAAAACATGAAAGTGTAATTAACAAAAGTTGGTGAAGGGGATTTAAAAAAAAATAATCTTAAAGTTATAGAGGCAAAAAATGGTTAGAGAAATCAAAATAATTAACCACAAATAAAGACGGGCAAAGAGAATATAATTAGGGCCTTAGATAGTTGTGTATTGAATTCTTTTGTGGTTGAAATAAAACATATGTTTCAATATAATATTAATATCCAAACAAATATTGTCAAATGTAAAAAACTATATATATATAGAATTGATCCGTAAAATATAGAGTTAGTAATTTTGATGCAAATCCCCCAATTTATAGAAAACGAATAAAAATGAAATAATGACAATAAAATTTTTTAGTGGTGACTATTAATTAATTAATTAACTTTCAACATTGATAAATCAATGATAGTAGATTTAGTAGTGATTATTTTATTTTTCACATTCATATTCATAAAAAACTTGTGCATTCCTCATTCATATTAACTAGATTTCTACATGGATCGATTTTTTTTTTTCCGGATAGAACAGTTTTGGTCTGTCACTTACGTCAAAACTAATATCTAAATTTGTTTTTTTTACAGTGCATAAATAAAAAATATGTAAAAATAAAATATTTCTTTTCCATGGATGGATGAAAAGAAAATAATCTAAAAGATAAGTTTTTTTCCCTCTATTTGTAGATTTTAATCATATTGGATCTCTAATTAATATCCAAACAAATACAAAGGATTTTTTTCCTATTAAATTGATGTACGATTCATGTATTTTATTATAAGAATTTCCCTTTTGAATAAGTTGTTACCGTTCGGTAGATTTATCCTAAACGAGAAAAAAAAAACAATTGGGCAAACATATATCTTGTTATAAAATACTTTGTAGGCATGGAAGTGAAAACAAAAACATAAGGGAAAGAAATTATAATTTTCTATAAAATTAATATAAGATTCTATAGAACTTTTTGGTAGATTTCACTTGCAACAGATGTAAAAACCGAGATATCACATAGATTTGATTTGGTATGAAAAAGGAAAATCCAAATGGATGTTAATCGAAGCATATATATATAAATAAGATTTTTTGGCATTTATGTTTAATCCAATTTTGATTATATTTGATTTGAACTAGATTTTGGTTAAATACTATATTGGCATAAAATATTCACATTTTTATGATCTTTTGCTTTACTATAAAGAAACTTCATGAAATCAAAACAAATTTAGTTTTATTGTCTTCCAACTTGTTGTTGAAATGTGATAATCTCATGCATAGTGGTGTACCACACTCTCGGTAGTCTCATAGAATTTGTTTGAAATACAAAAAAAAAAAAAAAGAGCAAGAAAATTTACCAAACATTTGATATTCTGTTTCTTGGTTAAAGTGAAGTTTTCTTGTTAGGTAGGCAAAGCAAACATTGTATGTATGTTATGTATGTGTGTTATGTATGTTATGTATGTATGTATGTATGTATGTATGTATGTATGTTATGTATGTTATGTATGTGTGTTATGTATGTATGTATGTATGTATGTATATATGTACAATGAACTTCAGTTCTAACTTTCCCACTTATATAATCTGAAAATTTTGCCACTAAAGTTAAGGTTCGAGGGAGATTATGGATTGGTATCAGTTCTAACTTCAGCTCTCTCTCTCTTTTTTTTTTAATCGTTTGATTAAAAATGTAGGTTGTGGATGATTGGGTCAATTGAAATTAATTTTCACACCCAAATAAACGCAAACTTGTTCGCTTTAAAACCTTGGGATAAATTAAACTGTAATTTTTAATTTAAAAACATATCATTTTCAATATTTATTACCATTAATAGACACTGATAAATATCATATATACGCTTGAAGTGGCATAAAGAATAAACTGTTTTTATAAAATCGACCGAAAAAGGAATTCACATAATTTACTAAGAGTTACAAGATGAGGTGAAAACGCGTTTTCAGTAGAAAAGGGAGACACGTGTCGTTACCATATCGACCCAGAGACACCGCTGTCCCACGGATGACAGTAATGCCACCACCGCCTAAATTTTACTAAAGCATTATGAAGATGCTTGGAAATTTCGTTTTTTAAATTATTTAATTTGTAAAAAATATAGTACCTCGATTGTATTAAGAAAATATTTATTTTAATAAAAATTTGGTTTTCATTTATTTAAATAATTTTATTTTCATTGATTAATTTGATTTATAAAAATGATGTATAATCTATATTTAAGATATATATTTTGAAATATAATTAATTTTATTCACTTTGATTTTAACGTACACAAATCAAAATATCTCAATAATTATAAAATTTATATTTAAAGAAATATTTTTTTTTTGCGAAACCGAAAGTTTTTTTAAAAAAAAACGCGTAGCAATGATAAATCTGATAATAAAATAGCATTATCCGTGGATTTCTCTTGTGGGTCCCATGGAGGGTATTTTCGTCAGATGTATTAGTCAAGAATGAATTTCGTCAAAACAACGGAGTTTTCTGTGTGCTTACCAAACTGTTTCCTTTTTTCTTCTTCTTATTTTAGACAACTGATTTATTTTTAATTACCATTTTATATAACTTTTCCATGTCAATGCCGATCAGATAGAATAAAAAGCTACACAAAATGAGATTGGAAAACAAAAATCTAAAATTTTCGCTGAAATTATTTTATCTTTTATGTCAATATTAGTCCATATATATTTTGGTTGGTATTTCCTAATACTCTAAAATTTATATATCCATCTTTTATATACATATATATCTCCCTCTTTATAAATAAACATAAATATTGTCCATTGAGCCATTATTTTGGAAATTTTTTATCTAATATAATTTTAATGTAACAATGAGTTATCTATAAATAATTTGTAAAAAAGGAATTATCTTTTTTAAAAATATATGGTAGATATTTTAACCTTATATACAAATTAAAATGAGTAATATTTTTGTGACAATTCCTCCAACGTTATTCACATTTTAAAACGAATTTTATAATTTATGTGATAGGTTTTATTTTTACTCTTTTAATTTCGGTCTAATCATGCAACAAATCAGTATATAGATTGAAATACATTAAATAAAATTTGGGAAAATTAGTACCACTTTTTTCAAGGTATTCGTAAAATGGAAAGTACGATTAATATAAGTAACTACACACACACACACACACGAATACATTGAAATTTGAAGTATATCGAATTTCTAGAAGGACATCAGTGTTGCTTTTCCGCAAATGAAAAAAGAAAAAGCAAATTATCTTCATAACCCAGATTAATCTGTCATTATCTAACCCAAATGTTCAAACATTACAACTAACTTTCACAAAAAAAAAAGATTAGCATACCAAACTTAAAGTAGATACATATACATTATACCAAAAAAAAAAAAGTAGATACATATACATACGTACGTACGACAAGAGGGGCATGTTCGTCATTTCGTAATCCAAACTTGCTAAAAAGTCCCCGGGCGAACAGGGACGAATAGTCACGTCCTCCTCAGCGAACGAGCACCAAGGGGTATCGACATTTCAACATCCAAAAGCTGCCCGATGGTCGCCACGTGGTGCGTCGTGAGGTACACAGATCAACCAACAGCCCTCAGATTCCGACACGTATATCCAACCTTCCGACAGATTAGCCTCGCTGCCACGTAGGATGCCACGTGTACATCTCCTCCTCCGTCTTTAAAAAAGCCACAATAAAAGCCTTATCGAAGAAAAACCTCCCGTTGCTTCACCTTTTTCTCTCTCCGGTGGTTAGATTCTTTAGTGTCCGCTTCAGTTTCTGATACTTTCGTATTTTGGTTTTTGGATTTTGAATTTCGGATTTTCGTTTGGTTTCATCTCTGTCGCCATAATTCCCGGCGACAGAGTTCGCCGGAATATTGCCGAGGAAGATGAAGAATCCGGCGACTGTGTTTATGTTCGATTGCCGTTGCTTGTATCATTGGCGAAATCAAAGCATGATCATGACGTTCTCGTGTCGTCGCGTATCTCGGGGACTTTAATCCGTATCTTCAAACCCTAGATTAAAGCAATCTTTTCCTTTTCTCTCTCTCTCTCTCTCTTTTAAATCTGTTGTTTTTCTCCAGAACTTTGCCCTGTTTCGAAGTTATTCCCTGCTTTGTTCGGGAATTTGAATAATATTAGTTCTGATAAATAATCGGAGACTGGGTTTGGGATTTTCTCCCTCATTTTTTTTTCACTTAGATATTTGGGCTTTTTTTGGTGCTCAATTTTCATTTCTTTCCTCTCCATCTTTTCTGTTTGGTGTGTAAGCAAAGAAAAATCACGGCAAAATCATAATGCCTTTCCCCATGAAAATCCAACCGATCGACTCCGATATGTCGGAGGAGCTGATTTTTCCGGAGCCGATGAGGCAGATGCCGAAATCGCGGCTGAAGCGGCTCTTCGAGCGTCAATTTACCGGTGTCCTGAAGAACTCCGCCGCCACGGAGCCTCCTCCGACACCGGCGCAGCCACTCTCCAGAGGGAATTCCGGCGAGTTCGAACCGAGCTCGGTCTGTTTGGCGAAAATGGTTCAAAACTTTATCGAGGATAACAACAACAACAACAACGAGAAACAGAGGTGTGGCCGCAACCGCTGCAACTGCTTCAGCGGCAGCAGCACCGGCACTGACAGCTCTGACGACGAATGGGAATCTGTCGGCTTCAATTCTTCTGGTGAAGCTTGTGAAATCCTTAAGGTATGTTGGGTATTCTTTTTTTGGTTTTCTGCTTTTTCAGATTCTGGGTTTTAATGAAATGCGGAATCTGATTGCGTGGAGGCTTTGCATGTGTAGAGCCTGGTGGTTTGTACGAGCGTGAGCGAGAGGAATTTATTGGCGGATACGGCGAAGATTGTGGAGAAAAATAAGAACTTGAAGCGAAAAGACGAATCTTCCTGGAAAATTGTCGCCGATGGGTTGGTGGGCTTAGGCTATGACGCGGCTTTATGCAAATCTCGTTGGGAGAGAGCGCCTTCTTGCCCTGCAGGTATTTCTGCTATGAATCTATTTATGAAATTTTCCTCTTTTGGTTCTGTTTGGTTGCTAAGAAAAGTAGCAGAGAAAACCACTGTCACTTGCGTTGGATTTCTTTAGATTACCATGGGTTCTTCACAATCCACGGAATCTGTTTGTTTCTGAGGAAATTTCGGGAAAGAAGAAAGTTTTTTTTCTCTGGATCTGTTTGGTTAGAAAGAAGAAACGTGTATCCTGTTAGTTGTTCACCCTGAGGCCTGAGAAAATTGCTAGAAAGAACAACACTTTCATACTAAAGAGCGGATTCCTTTTCTGGTTCTGATTGGTTTCTAGGAAAAAGAGCAGAATTGAAATTGAATAAATGCATGAAAGGTTGGAGGCTTCAAGATTGTTAAGACAGGCTGTTGTTGTGTACTGGAACAGGAGAGTACGAGTACGTGGATGTGATAACAAAAGGCGGCGAGAGGCTGCTGATCGACATAGACTTCAGGTCCGAATTCGAGATCGCCCGTCCGACCAAATCTTACAAGTCGATCCTGCAGGCTATGCCTTACGTATTCGTGGGCAAAGCCGATCGGCTGCAGAGGATCATCCAGATCGTGTCGGAAGCCGCGAGACAGAGCCTGAAGAAGAAAGGCTTACACGTCCCGCCGTGGCGAAAAGCCGAATACGTCAGAGCCAAGTGGCTGTCTCCTAATGCCCGCACCGACCAAAACCAGAACCCTTCAGCCGCAGCCGACGTTACTAAGCGCCAACCCCTCGAGGTAACTGAACTCGAAGGTTCTGTCTTTTCGTTTTCGGATGAATCCGAGGAACATCTGCAGGACGGCGCGATCGATATGATGATGATATAACATAACCGTGTAGACTTTTAACATAAGACTTGTTTAAAAAACAAAAAAAAGCTATTGAACTCTCTCCCTTATGGTTTTTTTATATGTAAGGGTGTCGGGTCCCATTGCTCTGCCTCGTTTTTTTGGTGCGAGGGAGGGAGCGTGGTCCGGCTCTATAGGTATATCTCCGAGGCAGATGTAAGAAACCGCCGGTGTTCATAACGCCGAGCTGTGTGTGTTGGATACTATGCTTTGTTATATCCAAAGTTTGTGTCTGAAACTTATACAGAACTAAGAGCTTGGTTGGTTATTTGTAATGGCAATAATCGTTTTTGTATGGCATTGTTCCTTTTTATTATACGTCTGTGTCGTGGAACCACACACACATTCTGCGCAATATCGAATGTTCTTCTTTTACTATGTTAATAATTCGGGACCCTGATTTAAGAAGATGGGTTTGGTCGCACCATCCATAGTCTATGCAATAATTTTTTCTAATTATACGATGTTAGTAAAACTAATTGGATTTGTCATATATTTTCCATTCCTCGAGTAATAAATGACATCAACATTGAGAAAAGTCAAAATAAAGCTATGAACATTTTAAGTTTTATTTTAATTTATTTGGGTTTAAATTAACATTCTACATGTATATAGATCGAGTTATTATGTTATATATATGCAATATTTGATGTATCAATAAAAGAGGAATTTTAACAATTTTAAATTTTTTTTCTCTTTTACAAAACTAAAAAAAATTATTCGAATAGGAATATATATATTTTTATGATACAGTGTATACAAATTTATACTGAAATATTTACAATAATTACTGCAAAATATTAATTTTTTGGTCTTTGAAAAAAAGACATCGAAGTCTCCTCCGTTCATAGTTCAGAGTCAGACTAGACAAAAAAATAAATAACGGTAGTAATAAATGAATAATGCAAAATACAAAACGTTTATGCTTTGACAGTAATACCCTTATAAAATCTGCTTCTTTCGCCATGGTTCATCAAGGGCTTTATGGTAATATTGATGCATCATCTATGTCTCCTCCTTTTCTCCCACTTGGCTGTAATCGAGTGCACCTCACCTTGGTCTAAACCTCGTGCAACCATTAGCCCGCATCTCTCTTCGTGGGTGCGCTGCACGATTCTTAACGTACGCCCTCCTTCCCAGGTTTCCCCCTCCCTCGAGATCCCTTTCTCTTCTTCTTCTTCTTCTTCTTCTTCTACATGTTCGCTTCTTCTTGGGATTCTGGAATTGGCTAGAGATTTTCTTTTTGACTTGAAACGGTATTGTGGACAAGACGCAGATCGTGCACTATCTGTGTCGGATCATGGAGATTTCTTGTCGGGTCTATGTATTCTTGGTTTCACTCTGCCTATTTCTGTCAACCTCTCTCTCGATTGACAACTTTTACGAGGCGTAAGTGGAATTCTTGTTTTTCTTCTCTATAAGTATTTTTTCCTGGAAAAGTTGCCGGATTCCATTTTCTGTAGCGGGGATTTGTTGCTTTAAGTGTATTGGAATATGGGTTAAAGCTAATATTTTGAAACCTTTCCTGCAATAATTCTTTGAATTTCTTGCTGCATTGTTGATTTTAACAGTTATAAGTTCTTCTGTTTGTTGTGGAGTGGATGTACTCTTGGATCTCGTTCCCTTTACTTATCAGTCTACTTAGGGTTTTGTTTCATCACAATTTGATTCAAATATAGTCTGTAATTGCTGCAGGAATCATATTTGAGTTAAGTTCTTGAGTGTTTGGAAGTCAGTTCGTAATCTGTGGATGGATCGAAATATTTATTCTTTCAACAGTAAATATGGTGTCGAAGAGCTAGAAACCCATAAATTTCCTCAAAATGTTTATTCTTTCAACAGTAAATATGATGTAAATCGTGTCTGTGGCAATCTGTTGGTAAAAGTATTAGGCTATTGAAAGAGGGTCATTCTTGCCGAAGTGCCATCAACATAGATGAGTGCACGGTTTTATCGTCACCCGAATGTATCCATTGATGTTTTGTAGACCTTTGGTTGATTGCCAACTGGTCCTTGTTCAATATGCAGCTTTCCTATTGTGGAACCTGATCCTGGCCATACAAAGCTCCGTCTTAGTAGGGAAGGATTGGAAGCAATTAGCAGAATAACAACTCCCATTGCAGCTGTTGCGGTATGTGGGAGTTACAGTTTGCATGGTTATCTGTTAATTGCCATTCCTTTCTGCTTGATATTATCTTGCTGAAACCTACTAGTAAGGACCTTGGAATTTGTTCGGTGTTAGTTCTCACCTTTTGTTTTTTTTTCTCTTTCCTATTGACAAATTAGGTGATCGGTCCATATCGTTCTGGCAAATCGTTTCTACTCAATCAGCTTCTTTCCCTTTCCTGTTATGAAGGTGCTTCTTTTTGCAAAATCTGGGTTCTGTGCCTAGAGTTGATGTATAGATAAGTTTGTTAATCGAAAAGCATATTCAATTTGAGACTTTTGCTTATAATAAATTTGGCATCCTCAGGTTTTGGTGTTGGTCACATGCGTGACACGAAAACGAAAGGTACTGAAACGATGTGCTGAGGAAATTTTTATCCATCCATCACAAATAGTCTTTTCTCTGAAAAAAATGTATGGTCCTAGGAAAGGATTGCGGATTTTGTTTGAAATTTTTTAGACTTGCTTGCTATTTGCTAATAGGTATTTGGGTCTGGGGAACACCTATAGAGCTGGAGATTGATGGAGTAAAAACTTCTGTATTTTATCTTGACACTGAAGGATTTGAAAGTGTTGGAAAGTCAAACGTATATGATGACCGGTAATTATGCTGCTCTGTTTTTTTACATTTTGGCATTTGTATGCTACTGAAGCTCTGCATATTTACTTATTTGTTGCCCACTGTTTCAGAATTTTCGCTCTTGCAACTGTGATGAGTTCTGTACTTGTCTATAATCTGCCTGAAACAGTAAGTTGTCCTGCCTCTGCGCTTCTTCAGATTATTTATGCTTCTAGCTTCCATACTTAGGATGCAAAGTAGAGAAACTAAATTTATGGGGTGATTTGAACCTTTATGTCTAAGGTTCAGGTTACTAGAGAGGCTTAAAATTACACATTACAGGTGAACCATTGAATATGTTGATTTCCTGATGGTCATGATGTTTAAGCCAAATTGGTATTTTGTGTTCTTTTTTAAATTGGTATCTTGCGCAATAGTTATGAAAAATATGGTTGTTGACGACTCAAAGTTATGATTAAAACTGATGTTGCGCAACAGTTATAAAACCGATGTTGGAAAATTTCCTTCTTGGAAATCTCTCTGATATGGGTTTTGGTCAGATCCGTGAAGCAGATATTTCTCGATTGTCTTTTGCTGTTGAGCTAGCAGAAGAGTTCTATGGAAGGTTTGCTGATTGATTCTGCTCTACATTCTCCATCTGTTGAATATTAGAGTTATCTCTATTCCGCATTAATATTGACTTGATTCTGTTTTCATTGGCTCATGCAACCCGGTGGGCAGGGTAAAGGTAATTCACAGTTTGCTTCTAATGATGTTGTTCTTGATTCATGTCATCTTCCAGAATTCTGGTTTTGATTTTCTCCATTTCTTGTAGGGCCAAGATGTTGCTTTTGAACCTGCAAAGCTTTTGTGGCTTATCCAGCGTGATTTTCTGCGTACGTCTATTGTGCTTTCATAGATAAGTTCGCTATAATTCACACTGAATTGTTGTTAGATATTCTGTTATGCCTGCATAAGTCCAAATGCTTCTTGTGAACCTTTTTGATATACTTGTTTTTATTTATGCAAAGAAAGGGCTTGACTAAAAGTATTACAATGTCACACAGAAGGGAAGTCGGTACAGGAAATGGTGGATCAAGCTCTCAGACGTGTCCCTAATACAGAGGGTGAGAGTTCTTGTCAATTCTTTAACTGATGTTTCACAGAAAATTTCTTTTGTCAGAAACCCTTATTGATGGATTATTTCTGTTTGCTGTGTTTACAGGTGACAAAAACATAGATCAGGTACTATCTTCTTTGTCTTACTTCTGCCGGGTACAAATTAATTATCATCATTCTTGTTTCAGAAGCTATCCCTGTCATCTTTTCTCAGGTTAACCAGATCCGGGAGTCCTTAGCTAGAATGGGTGACAACAGCACAGCCTTTAGCTTACCACAAGTATGGACTTTGTATGTGTTTGCTTATTTACGTATTTCATTTTTGTAAAAAATTTCCCACATGCATGTTTCTTGGAAAAAAGAACATGAATACTTGAATCATAGTGGCTAATCATAGTGCATGAAAATGATTGTATTGAAAATTATTTTAGTGGAATACTTTGCCAGTTAGATGGTTGTTACCTCTAAAGGAAAAGTGAGTCCCACATCGGTTCAAAGAGGAATTGTGAAGTCCTCTTAGTTTAAATGTTCTTAGTGCTGATCTTACAAAACTATGAGTCCTTTACATATTCGTGTTTGATTGAGCATATGTATAGTTGTTTCCCTTGTGGTAAATCTGCCCGTTGTTTTTGTTTTATAGCCTCATCTCATGCGTACGAAGCTGTGTGATATGAAGGATGAGGAGCTTGACTCCACATATGTTGCAAAAAGAGACCAGTTGAAAAAGGTTGTTTCCGATATAATTCGTCCAAAGATTGTGCAGGGGAAAACCCTAAACGGGAAGGAGTTCATCTCTTTTCTGGAACAGGTGAGTTACTGTTTCTGGGCTGTGTGGTTCCATATATAATATTTGCAAAAAATTAAAGCTTTTGGATTGAGGGAATGTGTCCTTGGAAATTCAAATGAAAGCATTGTGGCTTCTTGTTGTTGTACTGTTTATGTATATGATGGGAAACGAAAAGTTATCTGAGTTGCCTTTTCAAGTTTAGAAATGGTTATTTCTTTTATTGGATGAATGTCTAATGATAGCATTTTCTTCTTCTGGTTTCTTGAAGGCATCAACATGTGCAATTTGCTTTAGTTCTCTTACAATGTCAAAATGAATGTTATAATTGTGATGCATGTGTTCTGTCACTGTTCTTGCCCTATGTGGCTAGGATGCTTATTGACAAATAAAATAGGTATGTACCAAATTCCAGATTGCTATGTGGCATATCTCTGTGTAGATTCAGAAAAACTTTTTTATGTTACTATTAACATGTGTATCTTATACGCACTAAAGGCTATTTAATTCTTTTATTTTAATTTTCAGATTCTGGATGCTTTGAATAAAGGGGAGATCCCATCCACAGGATCACTAGTTGAGGTTTTCAACAAAGGTATTCTTGAGCGATGTGTGAAGCTATACAATGAGAGGATGTCAAGGTTGCGTTTACCGATGTCAGAAGAATCTCTGCGGAGTGCCCATGAAGCGGCTCATGGTGAAACTACGAAAGCTTTTGATGAGCAGCATTTCGGTCGACATCATGCGAAGAAATCTTTCGCACAATTAGATGAACAAATGCAAGAGGTATGGGTCCTTATTTTGCGATGAAATTCATTGGACTATGACTACATAGAATATGTTTTTCAAATGTAATTTCTCAATCACTTTTTCGCTCTGTAAATCGTATCTAGGTATATAAGAATTTTGTCCTTGCGAATGAATACCAATCCTCAAAGCTCTGCGAGGGATTATATACAAAGTGCGAGGATGGTATGGACCACCTACAGACTCTTCGACTTCCTTCCATGGCTAAATTCAATGTGGGTATTCAGCACTGCAACCAGAGTTTTGAGCAGAAATGCGTCGGCCCGTCAAGGAAAAATTACGAGCAAAGGTTGACTAAGGTAATATATGCACTTATTTTGAGTTTTGTATTAAAAGCATTGTGCTTCGGTTTGAGGGTCTAGTACATACAGTGTTTCTGGAGTCATACGGCATCTCTTTTGCTATTATGGTACAGTTTTCTAATCTACGCTGCCAAGTTACCAAATTTATTTTGTGAATTGTGATGGCTCATGTTATTGCTAGTTTTACATGGAGATTAGTTTCCTTTTTCTTAATTTGAATCTCGAGTTAGAAAGAAGATGCATACATAAACCTTATATTGAATATTAATTTTGTGTATCTGCAGATGATGGGGAAGTCACGATCGTTGTTCATCAAAGAATACAATAACCGGCTGTTCAATTGGTTGGTCGCGTTCTCTCTTGTAATGGTTGTTGTTGGCCGGTTCATCATCAAATTCATTTTGTTAGAGATGGCGGCATGGATACTCTTCATATTCTTGGAGACATACACGAGAATGTTCTGGTCCGCGGAGTCTCTTTATTACAACCCCATTTGGCATTTCATCGTAGCAACTTGGGAAACCGTTGTCTATAGCCCAGTTCTCGACTTGGACAGGTAACATATATCTTTCGCTCGATGTTTACTAACAAGTTTTTTACATTTCGAAATAATGTTTCAACTTAAAGAGTGCATTTCAAAGATAGGCTTGGATTTGAGTTTTCTGAAATCAAAGTGCCGTGTTTGTCTCTGTCATAATCTATGTGTCGTGTCCCGATAATCAGATGGGCTATTCCGCTGGTCTGCTTAGTTGCATTCTGGGTGCTTTACTGGCGGTGCTATGGAAAGAGGAAACACGGGTCGCATTGGCTTCTACCGTTGTACAATAGTCATAAGAGCGGGCCGAATAGGCCACGGTCCGAGTAAACGAGGCTGATACGAGGTTGATATACTAGTATATATTTGCGGGTAGTTCTTGATGGTTTTGCCATTCGAAGCCTGCACCGATGCTACCACCAATTCTTTGGAAGCTTACTGAGGAAATCTACTGAAACATGTGTTCCCACAAAGAGGTTAAGAAGAATCAGAATCAGAAGGATGGGTCAGTTCAAAGTTGGGTTTGATCATTGATGCTGATGCTGATGCTGATGCTGATGCTGAAATCTACTGAAACATGTGTACCATCTACATGGTTGAATCTTTTTATTGTTTGTTTTATTCACGGCAAAAAAAAATGATAGATTCAATTATTTCATTAAATGTTACCTAATAGCGTTACCTACCTATGTGTAATTTATATATATATATATATATATATATATATATATATAATAATACACACAGACCATTTAAGAAATTCTCTTCAGATGTATTTTTCTTTCAGGTGTGATGGAGACACAGACATTTTTATTTTTGAGCTTCAAGTATTAGGCACAAAAGCATACGAGAGGAGGAAAGTAGGTGAAGTGGGTTCGTATACTGATGACAACGTGTTTATTTAATTTAACAATATCCACATATTGATATTCACAAAATAGATATAAATACTTGTGTCATAATATAGCAATACACAAGCTTATACATATAGCCCTTACTAATAGTGTGTGAGTGTGGGTGAGAATGGGATCAATGGCTCAGAAATCGGCATTGATACTATGTGGAGATTACATGGAAGCCTACGAGACCTTGACGCCACTCTACGTTCTGGAGGCGTTTGGCGTTCGCGTTCACTGCGTTTCCCCTGGTCGCAAAGCCGGCCAAAAGTGCGTTATGGCCGCTCACGATTTCTTGGAATTCGAGGTATGATCTTCATCTCTGTATCATTTTTTTGTAATTCCGATGTCGACCCATTTATCGATATGTATTGTAGATTCCAAAACTTGATTTTACTCTTGTGGTTGTGTTGGTTAGCTATACACCGAGCTGGTGGTCGATCACGTAACGCTAAACGCGAACTTCGATGACGTCATACCGGAGAACTACGACGTCATCATCGTCCCCGGCGGCCGGTTCACGGAGCTTTTAAGCACCGACGAGAAATGTGTAGGCCTCGTGGCTCGCTTCGCCGAGCTGAAGAAGCTGGTTTTCACGC